AAAAATCTCAGGAGGATAAAAATTTGGTTATCCCTTTTTTGAAGTCTACAAATTCAAAAATATTTGAAATACCTATCTCGAGTTCTTACAAAAATGTAGAATCAATATTTGAGGAAGTAGGAACAATGTAAATATGAATGATTAAGATACCACAACTGATAGTGCAAATAAATTATTTATATTTGCGGACTTGAAGTAAATAAATCATTTAAAAATCCAGAACATGATGTACTTGTCCCCAGAGAAAAATATGTCGACAATTAGTCATAGGCTTGAAGCTGGTCGTTTTTTCTTCGCGAGAGAAAAATTATTTTTTCGTCAATGTGGTGATTAAAAAGTAATCACGACTATTTTAGTGCTGTCTACGGCCAGACAGCTGAAGCAGCAGTTGCTCCAGCTGAGAAACTCACTCCTCCTCCTCCTGAAGGAACTGACAAGCCTGTCACTGCGAAAATCGAAAAACTTGTGAAGGATATCACGTCATTGAACCTCATAGAGGTTGCTGAGCTAAGCGATGTTTTGAAAAAGAGGCTAAACCTTCCTGATGCTCCTCTTATGCCAATGGGAGGGATGGTGATGGCTAAACCACAGGTATTAATTAATGCCATCAAATTATTTCGAGAATATTCAAGAATTTCGACTATTGTCTTCAATTAATTCCCTCCCCCAATTACGGGGTTCTATAATTTTTCTAAATATCGATTAATCCGAGAATTTCATGACTAGGAAAAAAATATCAAAGAATAGTTTTTAGAAATTGAATACTTTAGAGAAATGCCCTTCGATATTTCGACGTTAAATCGATCGTTTTCGAAATAAATCAATATAGAATTGTTATTTAAACGGTTTGCTATTAAAAAAAAATAATTTTAATAATTTTTATTTTTCTCTTTTTGCTGCCAAAAGCCAGAGGTAAAACTCTTGATCATCAACCGATTCCATTGGTTCCCCAAGAGAATGACTATCGAATAATTTACATTTCATCTATTTCAGGAAGAAGAAGCAGCACCTCAACAGAAACAGTCCTCTTTCACAGTAAAACTCACGGGATTCGATGAAAAACAGAAAGTTCCATTAATCAAGGAAATTAAAACTCTGTTATCTGGGATGAATCTTGTGCAGGTAACGATTGAAATAATATATATTCAAACATATTGGAAGATTCCTAAAATAATTCATTAACAAAGTGGTCAAACAAGAAAAGTAGAATTTTCCATTATTGTTAAATATCGATTGAACTTAGAAACTATTGATTCTAGAAGAAAATAGCAGGAAACCTTTTTTATTATAAATTTAATAAACTGCCAAAGGTTCATTCAACATTTTCGTTTTCAATGAATAGTTTCCAAGATAAACCGAGAATTTAAAGGCATGTTAAATTCTATTAATTTCATTTTACCGCTTGGTTATTAAATTCCCGGAGCGTCGATCGACTATTTAAACATTTATGTTAAATTACAGGCAAAGAAGTTCGTCGAGAGTGTCCCGACGATCGTCAAAGCTGACGTAGAAAAAGAGGAAGCAGAAAAATTGAAGGAAGCGATAACCAAAGTCGGTGGAGTCATCGAGATATCGTAAAAATTCACTAACAATTTGTTATTGAAAAATGTTCTACGCTGTCTAGTTTTGTAAGGGAGAATAAAAAAATGTTTCGTCAATTTCCCCTGAAATTTATTACCCCAGATCAAAAACCCCATTCCATCCCTAAAAATTTTTTTCCAGAGGGGGAAATAATTGAATTGATTAATCACAATAATTATTGATTAATAAAATTTAATTCCCCGTTAAATTTTCGTTTTTGCCTGGAGAGTAATGGCAATGAGGTTATGTATCAATTGGCGGCAAATCGGGCAAATCCGAGTTGCTAAAGGTCACGTGACACTTTTCATATTGTTTTCTATTTACAAAACAAAGCATTCATCGAGGAGCTCTTGTTTCGATTCAAACTAATTTTCCCCAGTTATCTTTGAATAATCCATAAAGTGCTCGATGAATATTTTGACAGTCTTCTATACATTTGAATAAAATATTTAAAAGGGAATATCGCGCCTGTTTGAGTCAACTAATTGATAAGAGGGAACGATAAGGGGTTAACCATAACGTCCAGTGTCCAATGATGGCCATTTTTGAAGTGCCCTTCAATTCCCGACTCAATAACATTGTAATCTATTGATTACCCGGTAAAATATGATCTATCGATTAATTTCATGGATTAGAAATCGAGTATTGCAGTTTGATCTATCCTGAGTCATTCGATATTCCCGAGCATCGGATAAAACCCAATGGACACAGAAATCGCAAATTCGGTGAGTATCAATTCTATAATTTAACTCTGTGAATGAGTCGGTCGTTCACCTAATTTTCACTGAGTAAACTGCAAGGTCTCGATTTTTTTATGCATTGAAAGTTCTGATTCAGTAATGAATGAGTAAAGTGAAACAGGTGGGACCAATTAATAGTCAATTTTTTTTAGAAATATCTCGGAATTTCAGAGAGCTACTTGAATCTTTGTTAAAGCATTTTTGTAGCTCTCACTGCACTCTACAAAAAAGGTCCAGACACAAATTTCGCTATAAATTTTAGATCTAGAGATATTTCTGAAAAACTGGACAGGAAGAAATCGTCTTCGCAAGTGTATTAATTTTTGTGTTAAGAAAATTATTGAGAGTGCTCGAACATTCGATTTTACCGCCCATTGGAATATTGTCTTGATAAAAAAAATTGTTATGGTCAAGAGGACGTCTCATTTGATCAAATTGAACCCTCAGAATTGTAAAGTTTTTATTGGGGAAACGCGAGTGACGGGAACCCAGTGAGAAAAATTAATCCGAAAACTCAGTTCTTGAATGACGAATACCGACTTTGATAACATAAACACGAGTGCCTCGCAAATCTCCAATGAATTATTCAGCCAGTATTTGATTCCAACTTCTTGAGGAAACGACGAAAGTCCTCGGTGACTTGATAATTTTCAAATTTACAACAGTTAAATTTTTAGATTTAGAATTAATTCGTAATTACGAGAGTATCAAGAGCATAAAAGCAATTATTATCGTTTTGTGGCAGGGGAAGTGCGCCTTGAGGAAGAGGTCAGTAACCTCTTCCGTTTCGGTTCGAGGTCACTTTCTCATGTGAAATAAACAAGAGACTCCTTGTTGCTCGACGGATCGATTACACCATTGAAAATGCCAAAACGAAAATTGCGGGAGGTATTGAAATTTTTTAATCATCTGTAATGACTAATTGATGAGCGAAAGAAAAAAATCCTGGAGCGTGTGATAAGATTGCTCGATTTACTCGTTATCAGGATAAGCCTTATGATGTCATCAAAACAATTCCCTTTATTAATTGTGGATAATCAAGGTCGCGAATAGTCATAGTTGAACAATAAATGGGTGACGCAAGAAAATTTATCAGTCATTTACGATTAATTGTACAGAGAGGTGAGACACCGGGGAATATTTTCCAGATGATGCCTGGTGATGAGGATCTCGACCAGGGGAATACACCAATCATGAACAAGAGAATGAGACGAGTGAGTGACGTTATTGATAGCGTTGGGGAGAAGGATGATGACTTGCCATCGGGATACAGCACACCACGAGCTACGGAGGCTGATAATGAAGTGGTAATTATAATGACGGAGTGGTGAAGCCTTTCTAAATGTCAAGGGACGATGAGAGAGTGCAATTGAGACTTCAGCTCTTTTTCAAATAATCGGTCTGATGAAATAAATTTATATTTCCTATTGGAATATTGGAGATTCAAAATGGTTAAATGATAACTTCAATTCGTTTTTGATGTTCTTATAATTAACATAAATTGGTGATTAGTTTTTGGAGTCACCGGAGCAGAATACACCGGAATCGATTAGGGTTTTTAAGCCAAATTGGCTGACACAGAAGAAGTCTTCGGACCTTCCCGATGCTGGAGTATCACAACCTTCATGTTCACAGGGGGAAACTGATCTATCGCAGCCTAGGTAAATAAGAATCAACTTCTCCAATTAAACCCCTGATGTTTAAGGATCATGGGTTCGAAGAACTTATGAAAATTTATGGAACTAAAAAAAATTATTTGTTTAATCTGTCAGTGCTAGTAGTACCCTCTCGGCAACGATGACTGTTCACAAAGACGCAGAGCATTACAATATGAATCACAAAAATCGAGGAAAATGTGTAGTCTTCAATCACGAGATCTTCGACACTGGCTTTCCACCTCGAGAGGGATCCGCACTCGATGCTAAGAAGATTGACAAAACTTTCAGCAGTCTTGGATTTGAGGTGGAAATTTTAGAAGATTTGGAACACTCCAAAGTTATCGAGAAAATTAATGAATGTGAGTCTAATTCAATACTTCAAGAACGTCTACTTCATTTCTGCGAGTTTTCAGTCATCGAATTTTTCAATTTCACTCTCGTGAATGAGTTTTCCAGGAATATCTCATCCCAGGAATGTTTTGAAACAGAATGTGGACGAATAGAATAATTATTACGAGACACTGAGTCACTAGGTGACTGTTTCCATAACTTTTTTGAATTTACAGTGAGCTCTGAAGATCATTCTGACAATGACTGCCTCTGTATATTCATGCTAACCCACGGATTATCCCCAGATATGGTTTTCGCTAAAGATGTAGCGTACAATGCTGAGAAAATTTGGAAGCCATTCACTGCGGATAAATGTACGAGTCTCGCCGGAAAGCCGAAGCTGTTCTTCTTTCAGGTAATACGGAAAAAAATTGATCCCGTCAATTAAATTGGGTAATGTCTGTCTTAAATATGAATCTCACTAGAAGATTCCCTGTATTTTATTCCCTCAAATATATTTAGCGCATTCAATTTCTTTTTCTTATAGCACAAATAAAATGGCTGAATTCCGAGAAAGTATCTGCACTGATTTTCAAAACTATGTCGATAAAGAGCGATTTTTATGCGCTTCCTAATTTTTTATATTTTTCATATGGATTAATAAGGCCTGCAGGGGAGAAGGATTGGACGCAGGCGTTCAAGTGAAACACCCAAGACTAGCAGCTGCATTTAGAACTGAAGTAGATTCCTCTACGACTTCGTATAAGTTGCCTACACATGCAGATTTTCTCATTGCTCACAGTACAGTTCAAGGTAAAACTCAAACTTTAAGAATTAAAAAAAAATAAAACTCTAAAAAACAACTGGGCATCATTATGAAAGACCGAATTCCGAAATTCATCATAAAAATAAGATTGTTTGGACGAATTGATTAATTTTTCACGATTTATGTTAGGGCACTACTCCTGGAGAAGTCCTAGCTGTGGCACCTGGTTCATCCAGTCCCTCTGTGATGCAATAGATGAGTTTCACGAGACGACTGATTTACAGAAAATTCTAACGATTTGCTCACGACGAGTTGCCACCGAGTTCTCATCCTACAACGAACTCTATCCTACGCGTCACGAACAAAAACAAGTGCCTTCAATCACCTCGATGCTGATAAGGGATATTTACTTCACCCCGAAGTGAATTATCCTCGCGAATCATTTATTTTCATTTTTCCCTTATCATTTTTTCATGTTTTTCTAGCAATAATCACTTGATAATTTCTCTCATTTGTACGAATAATTTCGCAAGTCGTTCGATAGTTTATCAAACTTATTAAAATTTTGTGTACGAAAATGGTGCAGTTACAACGTTTCCCATTTTATACGTTGAATTAATAAAGAAGTTTTGGTTCTGATTTAATTACAGAAATTGATTTCATTCAATTATTGAGATACAATAATACAAAATTGCATAAAAGCTGCAGTTTTACCTATGAAGACAAAAAGACTGCTAGTGCAGAAATTTCCCTAATCGAATGGTCAATTTCGAATCGTCAACATATTTGCAATATTTCCTACACTTCTCGATAAAAAAATTATCGAAACTTCCTCATTGAGCCAGATATAAAAAAAGAGAGATGCAACTGCAATTATAATAAAAGAAACGCAGATTCCCGCCATTTTATGATAAACATCAATCCAAACAGAACGAAATTGAATGAATAGAAGAAATACACGAGACAAAGAGAATCCGAACTCCCCATCTAAACCATCGTTCTTTCTCGATTATCCCCTTCAAATCTTCGGAATTTTTCAAACTCCTCAAATAAAAAACAATACGCACTACAATTTCGCAAATTATCTTCTTAATGCCCTCAAAAATATCAGAAAAACCACGAAATTCTCCCGGGAGAATTTCCTCTCAACAGCAATTCCCTCGGTAAATCCTCATTGTGAACAAAAAATTGGAGGAAAACATTAGACAATCATTTACTTCGAAAACATCTTCAATCGACGTCCCCCTCGTCGGAAAGATAGTAAAAGATAGTAAACATTCCGGTGTTATTAAAAAAACCAAAAGCCGGGAAAAACTCACCCTCTCTACCGTAGGCGCACGAAAATTCCTCCGTTTCGGCATGAAAAAACCCTAACAACTCTCCTTAAATCCACATATCATAAACACTCCACCTAATTCTCACCACAGTTAATAATTAATCACTCAAAATTACTTCAAAAGACCACTAAAACCACTAAACTTTTGCGAGAAAGTCCCGGGACACCTCTCCCCGCCAAAAAATGTCGCAACTGCGCCGCCATCTTGAAATCAAAACGAGCGGGAAAAAAAAAGCGCTATACCCTCCTCAAAAGCGAAATGCGCAAATAAACAATTTCCACCCTGAGAATTGCCGGGAAAAACAATTCCCCGGTCACCAGATTTAATATCGTGCTTACAATTTTGGGCGGAGATATAAAATACGACGTAAATTTAAGGCCCGGATGGATTATCTGGAAAATATAATTTACTCCAAAATTTGGACTGCTAGTTACTCCGGAAATTAATCGTTTATTCCAATAATTGTTAGCTAGCGCCATAGCGGGTGTCAACAACTAGAGCGCTAGCTAACAATTATCGGAAAAATCGATTAATTGATGGAGTAATTAGGTGTGCCAATTTTGGAGTAGGCAATCTCGACATCATCTGATCGAGAAATAAAATCATCTCGAAAATTCAAACCCCCGAACCGACCACGAAAAAATCCACGGAACGGATACGATATATCCGGCGGCGTTAGTTAATAAATAAATTTCACTCACCGGCGTTGGATGAAAATAAGTCCGCTTTCAATTTTCACCTTTCGAACGACCTACCTTAACTGTAAACATAAAAAAAAAACAAATTGTTAATGAAATTTCGACAAAATAATTTTTTTACTGCAAAGGCGATTTTTAATTTTGATTTGAGAGTTTTTATTTTAAATTATTATTTATTTTTAATTTTTTTATTTTATTGGAGAGTTAATTGAATAATTGAAAATTGTTTGTAATGTAAGCATTGAATATATCAAGAATCAGGAATGAAAAAAATGACATGAAAATAAAATGAAAATGATGCTTCAAGGTCATAAAAAAATGCATACGAAACTCACCTTGCAGTCGGTTGCAAGATTCCCTCCAATCCTGGTGATGTCCATGTGATTCTGACGCCAAAGGTTGAAGTCGGCTTGGAAGCACCAGCACTCGAGACAGTTCAAAAATTCACTTATCACTTATCACTTATCACTATTCACTTATCACCACACAACCAAGAATATTTTATCAACTCAAAATCCACAAAAATCAATAAAATAATATCAAAGATCAAATAATATTTTTAATCATTCAAAATAAGATGAATGAGAAAAGTAATCCTTCGAATCTAATTCGCACTCTCACTTCAGTCCGTATCTAAACACACACTACACAATTCCGAGAAACGGACAAAGGAATTTTTGTAAACACAATGACGCCGCGCGGCCGTTCGGCAATACCGAAGTTCAGTGTAACAAAGGAAAAATGTCAATCACTCAAAATGCTCTGATAAACTGTTTAAAAAATTATTTCACATCCCAAAATCACTTGCACTGAGTCCCGCACTTTGTATTTTCAATGTTCACAGGGGACGCCGGTTTTCTGCACTCACTGGGAGCCCGATGTTAACGAATTTTCACTACGCGACACCCGAGCGACCGTTCCACGCACTGTCTCCGAACGTACTGACTCCCCACTCAAAATGGCGTGGCGTTGGAAGCGGCGCTCGAGTGGGGGGGGTCGCCAGGCGATACTCCGCGCATGCGCACAGAACACCCCGCGTGCGCACAGAAGACCGTGCATACGCACACAGACCCTGCATGCGCACAGAACACCGCGGGCAGTCTCAATTTGACGAGATACGATAATTGCGAAAATTCTTAACTTAATGAATAATTCTCTCTTTAAAAAAACAGTGCAATCACGTAAAATCCAATAGTCAGTGAAAAATAATTGATTGAAGAGAATTTAGCGTGTGGATTTTGGTCTTAACCATCAAAAACACTTCGATCGCAGGACTCTTATGGGGTCGGCTACTACGATGCCGCGGGGGTCACTCAAACCCCCAGAACTACGCCTCTACTTTGATCAATCCTCTTTGCTCCCCATCTAAACCATCGTTCTTTCTCGATTATCCCCTTCAAATCTTCGGAATTTTCTCAAACTCCTCAAATAAAAAACAATATGCACTACGATTTCGTAAATTATCTTCTTAATGCCCTCAAAAATATCAAAAAATCCACGAAATTCTCCCGGGAGAATTTCCTCTCAACAGCAATTCCCTCAGTAAATCCTCATTGTGAACAAAAAATGGGAAAAAACATTAGACAATCATTTACTTCGTAAACATCTTCAATCGACGTCCCCCTCGTCGGAAAGATAGTAAAAGATAGTAAACATTCCGGTGTTATTAAAAAAACCAAAAGCCGGGAAAAAATCACCCGCTCTGCCGTAGGCGCACGGAAATTCCTCCGTTTCGGCACAAAAAAACTCTAACAACTCTCCGTAAATCCACATATCACAAACACTCCATCTAATTCTCACCACAGTTAATAATTAATCACTCAAAATCACTTCAAAAGACCACTAAAACCACTAAACTTTTGCGAGAGAGTCCCGGGACACCTCTCGCCGCCAAAAAATGTCGCGACTGCGCCGCCATCTTGAAATCAAAACGGGCGGGAAAAAAAAAGCGCTATACCCTCCTCAAAACCGAAATGCGCAAATAAACAATTTCCACCCTGAGAATTGCCGGGAAAAACAATTCCCCGGTTACCAGATCCACTTCCGTTCGAACTTCGGTGGGAAATTCAAACGTACAATCACGTGATAACCGCCCAGATGATGTTCACCATCGGCTGTGAAATGAAAATGAGCCCTAGTAGCGCCACGACTACCAATCGACAGTCGTAGGCGGTACAAATCAGTCCAAGTGCATGTCCTGATGATGTCTACTGCCACGATGGCCGAGGATGCTGAGCCAAACGAAAATTCCAGGATGAATAGCGATGAAAAAAGCCTCGACGAGGTCGGTAAATTCCTAGAAACTCTTGTTTCACATTAAAACATTAATAACCCCCGACAACGTGGAGCGCTGTTGGATGATTAATTACCATGGCAGTGGAGATCTCAAGTGTGATTGACATTCTGACAGGTCAATAGTCCTGTCCCAGTGCCAAATGAGAATGACGTTGGTATCGTTGGGTTCGAAGCTAGAGAAGTGATATCGAGGCTTGAAGATGCTGTCGAGAGAGCTGCTGACGGTGGGGGCATTACCTGGGACAATCACCTGGGGTTCCTCACACAGTCCAAGAGTCCTGAAACTGTATTACAGCTCATACAGGTGATTATCACGACTTTCCTCTATTTATTTAACAACTCTCTTGGCCCTTTTCTCAGTTAATCGTCACCAGTTCGATGAGATCCAGATAAGCTTCGAGAAATTACGGAAACTCCGGGGACGAGAGAGCAATGACTAACTGCTGATTATTTATAACGATTTTTTACTCTAATTGATATCTCTCTGTGTACAGATGAATGCGAATATTTAATTTCTATTCTGTTCAGTGGAGTATCCTATTTTTACATTTGGAAAAAAATGTATCAAGGGAGGAGAATTTTTTTTGTAATTATTGGATGGTTAAATGTTACGGAAGTGTGGAAGTGACGGACTTATGCAATTTAAGTGTACATTTAGTTCAATATGTATTTCCCGGGAAATAGTACTTGATAATTATCCTCTTTTTGTAGGTTTTACTTTTCGAATTATTCTTATTTTATGACATTAAATGTATTTTATCACTTCCATTTACATTATTCATTTTAAAAATCAATTTAATTTCTATTTTCAATGCCGATAAATAAAATAAAATAAATAAATGATGTACCAAATAGGCCGAATATATTATTTCATTGATGTAGTGACCGGTATTACAGTATATAAAATGGAATATTTCATTCAATTAACAATTAATATACTGCAATTTGTTCCTGCCAAATAATTATTAATAGAGGATTGAAATTATATTCAGGTTGACATCTCATAATTATCAATCCCTACTTCTAGGACCTAGTGATCCACGAAGATGCGCCCCAAAGTGTGGAATGCGATTCGCAGGACCCACCACCAGCTCATCTGACGAACCTTCCGCCCCTGACGGAAGCAGCAAAGCTGTCTCTCGTGACACATTCAGTCTCAGCATATGCTGTTGCCCTTCCCAGGGCCCATGCACAAAGATTAGCTGCACGTCTGGCAGCAGACACCACGAGATGGTTAAGTCACATATTCAGATTCGTCGACTGCGCCTCGTCCTTCCACGAGGACCACCTCGAGGGTCTCGTCAGAGTTACGAGACTCGCACTCCACAGGAAGTATCCAAGGTACATGGAGGATGGATTCACAGCCCTCACCGCTGCTCCACCCCTTATTTACAGCTCCGTGGCTGCACCACTTGGAGTCGTTCAACATTTATGTAGACAACTATCCCTGCCTCTGCACTGCGTGCGACCGATTCCCCAGACGACGATGTTCGGCTCACGACAGGTGATGGACGTGGCAGCCCTGGAAAGAAGGCTCTCAGAAGACAGTCAATCGAGCAATGTGACACCCCTGCTGGTCCTGGGTGAAGTTGGTTCAGCGATAACAGGTCACTGCGACAATGTGACTCGTCTCCGTGAGATCTGCGACAAATATAACGTATGGCTGCATCTACGAGGGCACTCCCTAGCGGCCCTGGCCTTCAACACTTCGCCAAAGGATCTGCCCTCGAAGCTCGCAGACAGTATAACTCTCCCCCTGGGAGTGTGGCTGGGCATTCCCTCCTTGCCAGTAGTCACCCTCTACAGACTAACCGACACCAAAGGGGGTAAACCCACGTCCCGGGATACAACCCTCTCCTTAGTCTCCGGTCTTATGGTTGAATCCCTTTCCAGACGCCTACCAACTCTTCCCCTGTGGGCTGCCCTCCAGGTTCTCGGGCGCGAGGGTATCCAGAGTCGCTTCAAAAAGTGCTTCCAGGTCATCGAAGACCTCTACAACAGAATTAAAAAATTCGATAACATAAAATTTCTCAGTCAAATTCCTGGTGGAGCTGAGGGAACGCAAGAGAATGGCAGATGGACGATCAACGATTTAACGACAAATCCGGTGAACAGTCCACAGTTGTTTGAAGTTATATCGAGTGCACTGGTGTTCCAGTACGTTCCCACAACGCCTTCCAACTCCCAGGAAGGCGAGTATCATTCACTACCAGAGAGAATACCACCGTATTATGACAAATTGAACTCATGGTTGGGCCAGATACTTCAAAGAGATATCGAAAACGTTCCCATAGAGCTCTGTGAGATTGAGCAATACGGAGTGGCCATCAGGATCTGCTGCCTAGAGAATATCGGACCTGCTCCGTCATCTGAGGACATGGACAACGTGATTGCCTGCCTGGAGCAGCAGATTGAAATTTTGAATGCAACTGTGGAGCACAAGGATACGTTTATGAGACTTGTTACGCAGAATGATTCACTTCATCTTGTAGAGATGCCTGGGTGGGCTGGTCTTGGTGGAGTTCGATATGCACCACCTACGTGGATTCAGATTATGACGGAGCAGACGAAGGAGGAGCTCAACAGGCTGAATATGCAGCTGGTGGAGGCGCTGAGGAGCACTGATGCTGCATTCTCCTTGGGAGAGGGAGCGGATGGTTTGGCTTGTGTTAGATTTGGAATGGTAACACAGGACACTGATGTCTCAGAACTACTTTCCCTGGTGCTTCAGGTTGGCCAGGAGGTTGAGGCCAGCTCTAAACTCCTTGATACCATGTCGGAGGTCGTTAAGAGGGGCATTGAGGCTGCACAAACTGATCTTGAACGAGAGAATGCTGAGAAACTCTGGCAGGAGGGCATCCTTAGGCATGTTCCAGTCGTTGGGACATTAGTCAATTGGTGGAGTCCGCCTGCCAAGGAGGCTGGGGTACGTGGTAGGAGTCTCAATCTACAGGCTGGGGTTGTTGAGTCTACTGAGAATATATACAAGTACCATATGCAGCTTCAGCCAAATTCAACGAGCAATAATTCGGGAGCGAGGACACCACCGCAACCACTTATTCAGACCCCTGTGGGTGCTGGCAGCCAAAGCCACAGCCGATCCTCGAGCCACTCCAGTCTTCAGAGTGGGAAGGGAGTGCCACTTGTTAATAATTCAAATTTACCACAGACTGTTGTCAAAGAGGAAGTGCCCGAGTTACCGTCGTAGTTGGATTTCATTAATTTTGGTGTGAAGTTGTTTTTTTTTTTTGGGAGTCGAGAGACCTTTTGCTGAATTAAAGCAGACGAAATTAATTCCGAGTAGATGTAAAAATTGAATTTTTATTTTAATCAGTGTAATTAGCGCTTTGCTTGCGTTTTCTTTTCTGATTATTATGAAAATTGGGGGAAAAATTATTCGATGCGGATTTTTCCTTTTGATTAATCAGGAATCGTCATAGTATTACATATTTTTGCATGATTTTATCGAAGGAAGTAATTTATTTAAGAATTTTGTTCTGGATATTTTACCGCTTTTGATAACTCTCAAGATATTGAAAAAAGGGATTGTATTATTAATTTCGTCAATTTTTTTTTGTGGTAAAAGATCTCGAGAGGTTGAAGCTGGTTGTTTCTTTCGAATTTCCCTTTGTAAATTTTATCCCGTTGCAATTGCATCAGCAATAATTCCGCATAGAAAGCTTCTCAATTATCACATGGCTTAATGTACTTAGGATCATAACGCTCGATTCCAATTTCCATTCTTTTAGTTATTGCACTTATTATTCAAAGTTATTTGAAGTTCTTCAAATTGATTTTAATGCACTGTTCCACTTGCATAATTGCTATAATCATGGCCAACGAATTAATTCCTTACAAGAGTTTTATTTTATTCAGTAGATTAAACGGGAAAAGTCCTCATAAGTTGTCAGAATTTTAATATTCTCTTTATGTTGTATTATCATTTATTCTTTTTGTAATCCAATTATTTTTCAATGTGCAATTTATTCCTAGTGCATAAGCACATTAATAACTAGCTATTAATTATCAAGCACAATTAAACAGTTTAAACTCATAATAAATAATGCGAATCGTGTGATATAAACATGAATAACTGAATTCATCACCAAAGATCTGGCCTCGCGTTCAATCAGTCAATTTAGATGATTCCGATGATTTGCACATTCATTTCTCCTCCTGACGAGAGTTGAAAAGATTAGAATAAAGGCGATTGATTCGTATTTAAGGACAATTATCCTTTTTCTAGTGAATTAACGAGAATTTAAACAATTATAAAAAGTTACACTTGTTGAGACTCAGGTGTACGCAAAATAAATTGAGTTCATATGTATATTTATGTACCAAAACCTTGTAATAAAGTATTGCTACAGAAGGAACAATAATAATCAATAACACATAGATTCGATTTATTTATCTCTCTTTATTTTTTCATTCTCTTTTTCGTTTTTATTTCTCATTAAATTCTTGCGTTACACTATTTGTATGACGATAGGAGCATTTTAAACAGTATGAAATTCTCCATTAAATAAATAAAAAAAAAGGAGAAAAAAAAACACGAGCCAAATATTCAACCTCGACAGAATACTGTTATTGATCCCGTTTTGCATATTTCATTACGGCAGTCTTCAGGATGATATTTTTCTCGTATAATTAATGGTTTTTCCTCCCTTCACTCTGCAATTAATGCACTATTTCTTAACGTTAATTTAGAAGTTAATCTGTCGAACGTAAATTCTTTTTATACTTTAATTATTTACCAGCTCCTCTTAACAATTACACGAAGAGTCGCACGCACTTTATCTTGACACTAAATACAGATTTTTTAATTCTCTTTCCATCGTTAATGAATTAATTAATGGGAGTAGAAGTTGTGAATGGCATAGTGTAAATATCATGAGAACAGATTTCGCAAAAAAAAGAGGTATTGAGCCACTTTATCAATTATTTGGATTATGGATTATTAACTATTTTATTCCGTTCCATAATCCAAAATCTTTAGTTTACACTCCATAAATTACAACTTGACAGAATACTTTAATGGGGAAATTAATGATACAGGGATTATGATGAATGATCAATAATGAAAATGAAGGGAATTAAATAAATGCTCGTGGAATGGCACTGTCAGTCCTTCCTCACGAGACTAAACCGTGATTGGGAGGACTAATTACTAATTAGGTAATTACATCCTGCCTGAGAGTCCCAACAAGCCTCTCAGGCCCATTAACGACTCTCATATTTTCATTTTTACGTGAAAGAACACTGAATGATTAAAATTATCACACATTACACGTCTAAGATAATCTAACACTTTTGTCTCTACGTATTTACAAAGGGGTAACGCCATTGAATTATTTGAGTTTCTTTGTGGGGGAAAAAAAAACACGGTGCGTTGAGTGAATTTTTCAAATGACCTCAACATATTCTCTTTATCTTTGGATCTCGCGTCAAACCATTTATATTCATATATATGTATATATTAAAAAGGCTTGTATTCTTTAACGTTATATTCATATGAATCTTTCCCTTGTGCTCCTGGTATTTTCACATTTAATTGCCACAAAATTTTTCGTTAGTGAACAAATCGAAAAATCATGGGTCATTGTGGTATCAATTTGTACTTACATAAATGCGATCACCTGAGCTGTGGCAGTTATTTTATTAATCGATAATAGGCAGTAATTATCGTTAAACTTCATGTAATTCAATTATTCAATAGTCCATGGAAATTATCCGCGCTGCCGTTTGAAATAGGGCATCTCCGGTCTCAGATCGTTGACATTCAATAAATACATTAAATCGGTAACTCCGCTTTACCGATTAAATTCGTAATAATAGATATACGTTACTTAGGCAATGACGACAAAATTTGTGTGCTTTTTTCTTGTTCCATATTTTCGAAGACTTGAGAAAAATGATAATAAGAAAAAATGGTTTTTCACTACAAATAGCGCAGTGCGCGTAAAATGTAAAATATATGTATATATTATATAAAAAAGTGTCTTTTGGTATCCCTCTCACATTAAATCGTAATGAAAAAACTTGGGGTGTACGATTACACCAATATCGTTTTGTACATAGACTACAAATTTGATTTATCCTCCCCAGGACAAATGTCATTTATCATTTTCATATTCGAGTAAAAAAACTTGTTTTATACACATTAAATGCTTTTTCATTTTTGTACACTTCGATGTGGAAAAAGAAAAATCATTGAATTATAAAAACGAAAAGGTTCCACTGAGCTCCAGTTGACCCCGCACGCGAGATTCTGTGCAATAATTTCCCCATGGAATTTTCAAATTCATCATGTCTTTGATGAATTATCATTATTAACCATGTGCCAGATTAATCGCCCCCTCATTAGCCTTCGTCTCAGTCTCGTTATTAGGTCTTGATTATCCTCCACATAACTCACTTTGGTTTCACTTTTTCTTGGCTATCTATTTATCAATTCGAACCTGGCTTTGCCCAATCCTCTCAGTTATTTCTCTTACAATTCCGTGACAGCGTACAGATTTGGATCACTGCCCTGCACTTGGCTGAGTGTAGGTATGGCAGAGGCTTTATCCTGTCTCGATCTTGCTCGATTGTACGTACCGTACATGTTCGGTACAACATTGTTCTGGGCTGTACCGTTGAACTGATTGCATGAGAAATTACGGTCGAGTGTTCTCACCTGGTCCTGCATCTGATCCTGAATTCTTATGTTAGGCGCTTTGTTGCGAACTAGGGAGCGAAATTGATTCATGTTTGTTTGTGATCGTGATTCAAATTCCCAGGTTGGCTGGCTGTGTTGGTTTGTTGGATTTGGGGGCAATGGACGATTCTGATTCCACGCTGGTGTTGGTCCTCTCTTCAAGTTGGCAAGATTCTTTGGATCAAGAGTTTGAGTTTTGCGGGAGTCTTGAAATGTTGCTAGGTGAGCGGGTTCGTGAGAATTGTGAGACATGGTGCCCGTGAAGGATGCTACACTGGGAGTCCAGGGCGGTTCCCTTCCTGCAGGGCAAAATTTTTCATCTGTATTCTTCCCATCTTCAATCGCAAAACCTATCATTACTCCAATCATTTAATTCTTCTCTCATAAGTAAGCAATTGAAATTATGCAAACCAAAAATAACGAACATATTCAAATAAATAATAATAAACAATAATACAAAATTCAATCATGATGATAAAGAGAAAATAAACGCAGACACTGAACTCTCACTACTAGAAGCCATAATTTCCGATGAGAATAAAAAGAAAAGCACTCGTATTCAATGAGGCTACGTTTCGACTGTCATAACACTCTAACGGAGCGGTTTCATAAAACGTATTTATTCATTAAATTAAATATATGCACCTAGCGGGAAATGTCTAGTGCATTTGAAACGTTCCACAATTTCGCTGTACTTGTGAGTTTGAATTTTCCTTCGGGCGAGTAATTCAGTTATTTGAGGGGGCAAATAGTCGATAATAATGGCAGAAGTAAGTGAATTCAGAGGAAGAAATTGTGGTTTATCGGGTAATTTTATTGAGAAAATAAGAGAAATTTATTTTTGGCTGCTCACCAGGCTCCGAGGGGGCGTGTCCTCAGTAAAAATCACTCGACTCAAGTGTTTTACACTGCTTGCTCAGAGTTGCGTACTGACCAGGTTGATCTCCGTGTCCAGAACGGTGTTCATTTCGTCCACTCGCAGATTGCTGATTATGCTGAGATGATTTGTGATCTCCGAGTCCACTGTTCCCGTTAACACCCCCACCTCTGTAAACGGCAATGCCAGAAACGTTACAACATTCTGCCTCTTCCCCAACCAATAATTTCCAGATAAATTATGAAGTGATGGAACGTAACAGGATGCATCATATTAGTTATGAGATCCATTTGTTCTCAAGATAAATTTATCTATAAAAAATGAATTTCTTCAGTTCGTTTGGTTTCCTCAAGTTCGACCACTTCACTATTAAAATCTAATAATTAACAAGATCATTAAAATTAGTTCACTCTTTCCACTAAAAGCACATTCCTATTCCTAACAGTAAACTGGAGCCAGCTGCATTCAATAAAAATCACCTAAATTCTCAAAAACAGTTTCTAATGATAACAGGAATTCTGAATCTGACAAAATCGAGAAAAAACGAACCACTAAACTCTATAGCGACAGACAGCGGCTAATCGACAATTAAAAAAAACTTGAACTAAATATCCAACTAAAATATCTGAAGCTCAAATCACGAAATGTTTAATAATTCAATCATTTTTAAACAATAATTAGATCACTTGAAAATTGGAAAACAAATCAGTGACAAAATACTAAAGCAATATTCAATATCGATAAATATCGATTGTTCCAAAGAACTATTGATTGTAGAAAGACAGATCGAGCGGCCTCATTAGTCTTAAATTTAAGCTACAAAAATACTTCAATCTTTCTTTCTTAAATCAATATTTTTTAAGATGAATCAATAATCAAAGAAAAATAAATCGAATTTATCTCACTTTATTATTTCGTTACTGAAATCAATTCGTCGTGGAGTGGTCGAAAGACAAGTTTCTAGTTGAGATTTCAGAGACTTAAAAATCCCTCAATTCTCATTAAAAAGCTCTGAAACGAAGGGAGACTGAAAATTTTCTGTTAGAACATCTTTTTTCGAGTGAAAAAACATCTACAAAAAAGTTATTAACAAAAATTTCACTATCCACCCTAGATTCAGAGATATATTCGTAAAGAGCAAGTAAATGCCAAGTACACTTGCTATCCCTGGCCACTCGACAACCAAAAATAGTTCGATAACTGAATTGATAAAATAAAATATAAAACATGCACAAACTTTAACATGCTCTCGTGCAGCTGGCGTGCTCGAGCTGTCGCAGTAGCGTAGGATGGCGGGGGCGGCGTTAGCAGAAGAGGCTGCTTAATTGTATTATTCGTGCCATGAGCATTCTGATTAAGAGGAGGGGCTGTAGGCGGGTACGACCCTTGGCCACGAAGTGTTCTAGCTGCGATGGCCTGGGATGCCGCTGATGGTGGTAGGAATGGATCCTGCTCGTCGACCTGATGATAATCCCTTCTGAAACAATTGGCACAATGTCACATAATTCCATTTCATTCAAAGTGTTTTTAATACTTTCCATCCATCTGCAACTAGTTGTTTTAAACACTGAATATGACTGGTGCAGATAGATAAACTGTTTATACCAAACAAACGAACGCCTTGATTGGTTTTATCACAGACTTTATGCACTGTTCGCTCAATTTTGTGTTTATTCATTATGTAGATGATATTAAAACGTTCAACAGAACCGGAAAGGTGGCGAAAAAAAAATTGATAAAAAAAGTAACGACTGAAATTTTACCGTTTCCTGATGTAGATCCACGTGTGCGAGTCGACCCATACAAGAACAGTGAAGAAGAGTCCAGCAGCAAGACTAGCCAATAACATAAAAGTCAGTCCATACAATCCCAAATGACACAGACTCTTAGTAGCATGAACATAACTCTTATGCACTTGTTTGCAATCAAGAAGCGTTGTCAATCCATTCATAAGGTTATCGACATTATTGACCTCACTCTTGAGACTATTGAGCTTCGGCGAAAGATTGGCCTTCTGATCCTTGAACAAATTGAGAGCAATGTTCTGAACGATGTTGAGACTGGCCCTCATATTGCCAGCAGCAAGTCGTCCCTCCCTTAGTCTCTGGGTGAATGGATTATTCCTCGTGCTCTCGCAGTGTGTGTAATAATTGAGTACCTCAGCGGCAAGTGTAGAGGGTACTGTTCTCGTTAAATAACCATCCGGTGAAATGCATAAATCACCGAGTGCAACCGCGGTTGCTAGATAGAGTGATGCCATCAGCCATGAGACTATCACAGCAAATAATCCAAAAACTGAGAATGTTATTAGGGCGCATCTGGAGTGTCGCGCGACTCCGACCAGCAGAACCACGCAGAGAACGAGAAGTGTGCTGAGTACAGCCATCGTGACAGGCCACCTGAATAATTCAATCCTCTCTCCCAAGCGAATTTCCCTCGTTATGCTTATACCACTCAGTGGTTTTCTTATCTCGTAAGTTCGATTAATGGCAATTGTCGTGTTCTGGGTCATGTAGTCCCACACCTTCAGCAGATAATCCACAGCTGTTTTGTTGCTCACTGGGGCATCGAAATCATCTCGCAGCGATGTCAACCCTGGATCGAGCTTCTTCTTCAGGATTGTCTCGATCGTGTCTGTCTGATTTTTCACGGATATCACACTGCCGTCCACCTGTTTAGCTGCATCCAGCAGATGCACTACACCGTTGTGCACGTCGTCATTGCCGTAGAGACCCACTGCCACTGCTCCTGAGCACAGAATCGCTAGGATTGCTAGGGAGCACTTCAGCAGGGTTATCGATCTCCTTGGACGAGGCTTTCGGTCGCAGCATCGTGTCACTAGGTACACCAGCAGCACCAGAAGTGTTAGGATCAGCCAGGCGGCAGGCAGACTTCCCAGTATTCCAAGGCTCTAGAATATTTAATACATTCGATCGGTGATCGCTTCACATTTTATTCAATAATAATATTACCTATCAAAATATTTTTTAAATATTACAAATCAAAATATTATGATGTAACTATATTACATCGCGAAAATATTACAACTCGCCCCGATGCCAACATAATTTTAACAACATTAATATCCTAACCGCCAGTTTGACATTTAACATTATTTTATTTTCACCTACCTCTTCTAGTATTACTCTTCAATAATTATTCGGTTTTATTTTTAATCAATTACTTCAATTCAACTACGTGGAATCCCACTCCCATAAAAAAAATTAGCTTCTTATATTTTTGGATGCCAGGAGAATTTCAGAGGAAATAACTTCCTTTGAAGTCAATCAGTCCGGAAAAGAGCTCTAGGTTTTTCATCGAGATCTCAACGACCACATCCTAATCACGCCCTTAGCCAAAGCCAATGAGCCCCACTCGATCTCATTAATCGGTCATTCTCAATCATAATCTCAAGTCTAATCTGATCGTTATCAATTGTCGAGAAGATAAAAAGAACTTCCGGGGTTACTCTTTGTTCTCTGGTGTTAAAGACATCTCGGTCTCAGCTGCAGGGCACTTGAAAACATCCCCTTGATCGTCCCTTCTGTCTTTACGTCTCGATATTATCCCATTGTCGTCCCATGAAGGGAGACCAGTCATCGTCCACGCAGAAGAACGTTATTTTCATCGAAACTACCCAGTTGCTAAGGCACAAGAAATGGAAATAAACGTATAAACCATGAGACCCCCAGAATACACTCCCCGAGGCACATTATGCCGCACCAGTTGGGCTCTTTGTTCATTGTTGAGATTCGCCTCGTATTGTGCCTCACAGGTTTAGTAGTTCTATGCGGCCTAGATTCATTCACATACTGCGGTGTTTTATTTTCTCTTTCTCAGATTTTTTTTCACTCTTTCAGCCGAAGTTTTAATATTACTGGCCCCATGACCCAGCTCTTGTTATCCCACCGCAAATTGTTTAAAGAAGGGTTTAATTTGTCTGCCGAGCAGATTTTAGTCTTTTTCAGACGGACAACTGGTTGTTTAAGGTCGACTTATTTTTAGTTTTCAGTGAGAATTTTTAGGTAGTATGAATTTCCCAGAGAACAACAGAAATAAATAATAAATCTGTGGCTGTCTTATTAAAAAATAATCGAAAATTTTTAAACTGAAGAAAATCTTTCCTTCTCACAATAAAATTGACAAATTGAAATTTCGCTGAAAACCGAGGTTTAAGTGGAAAGATTTAAACTCGAATTTACAGTTAACATCTCATTTCGCAGGCAATCCAATACAACGGATGAAAGACAAAATGTAATTGAATGAAAAAAATAATCAAAAAGAAAATCCGTAAAACACAAGTAATGTCCCACTTGTTTTACTCTTCTCACTTTCTAACTTTTACTCTCTCCTTTAATTAAAGTTGTTAAACCGTTGTTAAGTTGTTATTATCAGGTCAGATCTGATTGCACACCTCGAGCCCGTACTGCCCCCTGACCAATTTCTGTTCGAGTGAGTGATCTCTGTACGAATAAAATCATTACAACAGAGTACTTGTTCAATAACTTATTGATTTACCTCGAGATATATCTCAGAGCGTGGATTGAATGTGTTGTTGACAGAGTGAAGAGATACGTTGAGGTGTGGTAAACTGTGAAATATCTTAGCCAGTGGTGGTACTGTGTACTGCTCCGGAAGTTGTTGACCAATCGCCATAGTGATGAACCCTTGCACTGCTGTGACTCCGGTTTTAAAGACCTCTCTTGTACTTGTCAAGACATGCTACACGCTCTGAAATGATAAACATTCATCAGACAATTCGAGAGAGCCAGATTAAAAAGACCAAGGGATGGCGGGGTATGATACAAAAGGGGAGTAGAGTGGAGAGTTGTGCTGATACGTATGCATGCATGTTTCACAATTTTATATAGCAGTGACTGAAAAGTTGGGGCTTTTTAACGACCACAAATGTTACTCTGGGTCTTTCAACTTTTCTTTCAGTTATAAAACATCGGTATGTGTGTGTGTGTGTGATACGAGGATTCGTTTGCTCCCGTTATGATTGTTTGAGAGTTTTTCCCAGAAATGCAGTCGTGGGACGTAACAGCCGTTGAATGTTGTGCCCAATGCTGCACCACTGGTGGATGCTGTCTCAGACAAATAAGAAATATTCAAATCTCTTGGTCTAATAGGGACGGATATAGCACTGGAAAGCAAAATATATTACAAATTCCCTACGAATGTCTAACGGTATCTCTCCCTCTGAAATCGTTGACGAAGACTCGCTTCGTATTAAATTTTGAAATATTCAATTTCTCATACTTCAAGGACAGTTGGATATAGGAAAATTACAATATTGGTACTGCAATTGATTTTTTTAATACTTTTGGTTGAATATTGCAATTAAATCGCGAATTTTCACAGTCTAAAAAATTTCCGAGGGGAACTCCGAGAATTTCACAGGAAGCGTTTGAATTGTTTAATGAAATGTTTAATGAATATGTAGGAATCATTTCGCTGTGGATTTTTAGCGTGATTCGTAATATTACAGTGAAATTTATATATCTGTGAGTTGGAATTTTTGGAGTGAATTTATAGTAGTATGCGCATAAGACTTTCATCACGTTTCGAGTAATTTTGCTCTGGATATTTTTAACAGCGAAGAAAAATATTTGATCACCTTTCTTTCATCTCGTTTCAGTATTGTTTGTTGAATTTTTTACACTGTCCTGGGGCACGGTAAGTATTCAGGGGAGATGAAGGAAATCTTTTGTCCAGTGTTGAGCAAATCTGAGGGGAAAATTCAAGTTTCCTTTTTGGGTTTTGGAGTAAATAAATAAATAAAACACAGTGGAATGGACTTGGTAAGGAACCTCTCATTAAAAAATTAAAATTAAAAATAGAGATTTACTCGAGTGTCCGACACGAACTATCTTTTCATTTCAAATTTTTTCATAGGAGTGTGAATTTTAAAAGACAAATACTCAATGTTTTCCTTTCATTCTTCTGATCTCGAAATGTTTGATGAATTTTTCAAATTACTGGAGGGAAAACAAATATTCAGGGAATGTGAAGGAAAACCTTCTGCAGTGTTGAACAAATATGAGAAAATCTCGAGATTTCTTTCTGGATTTCACGAGGAAGCACAAAAAAGAATAGATCAGCTTGGATATCTCATGCATAAAAATCTGTGATAGGAATACCCCAAGAGAAAAATCAAATCAACTAAATAAAATTTGAACAACATTAAAAACTGAAGGAGATAAAACGATTTTTTTTTATATCAAATTTTTTTACCCCAATGTCTTGAATTTGAAAAAAAATACCCAGTATTTTCCTTCCGCCTTTATGATCCAAAAATGTTTTCCGATTTTTGTTTAATGATCAAAAGAAAAATATTCGAAGAGTTAAACAAATTCTTTACCAAAACAAATGTTTTTCCTAAACGGTTTGTGAAATGGTGTATGAAAATGTAAAAACGTAATGATAACGTCACGGAAATAAATCAATCGATCAAATTATGAAGAACGAAGCGGAAACGTAATTATTAAACACAAAAAGTCACAAAATGCATAAATAATTGTTCTGATAGCGCCCAACTTGATAGCAGGAAGACGAATAATTGTGGAGAATTAGATGACACACAATTTTTATCAAATGATCAACGATAGGAGGTAAATGACCAGTGGGGTCCACTGACTGTTAGTAATACGTGCCCCCAGTGTCATTCTTTATATTTACGATCTGTAATCCCAGCTCTTGGTACACGTACTATGAGGCTTAAGAGCGTTTAGTCACCATTGTGACCATATTATAACATATACCCTGAATAAATCAACGAAAATCCGAGTGTCTCGCCCACGCAAGTCCTAATCCTCATTTATTCAAGACTGCCAAAACTTTTTTTTAACCAGTGTCTGGAAAATGCAGGGATAGTGCACATAAACTGAGAGGTCTACTTTCACTTATTCTGACGAGTGTTCAAATGCAAGACTGCATACAACACGCCTTAACCCGTGAGAAAGACTATGTGAGAGGGATTATTGACGCCACTCAAGATCATGTGCCGAAGGCCATCTCCAAGTATGCGGATGATGGTAACTTCATCGGTAATGACGATGATAATGCACGTGTGCAAGATTTTCCGGTACGTGAGATGGATTTTTTAAAAATATTACTCATACCATCGAGTGCTGAATATCATGGGAATAATGAGTCCCGTCATACACAATTTTAATAACAATTACATCATTTTTGGGATGAGGTAATGCCTGGCGGACGGCATAATTTTTCTTTTTGAAAATTTCCCTCAAAAAATTTCCCGATATTAAATTTTCCCGCAGAGAATTTCCCCTAAAAAAATTTCTCCGCGGCAAATTTCCATTGAAAGTTTTCGGGAAAATGTTCTATTCAAAAATTTATTGGAGTCAATTATTGTTAATATAATTTTTCAAAATAAAGTGCATCAAAAGAATAATAGTTCAATAAAAAAATTGATAATGTAATTAATCCCATGAACTTGAAGTTCAAGAATACATTTTTATTAACGCCGATTTAATCCGACGTTGAAGGCGTACACATTTTTACGATGGCGAATTTATAGCTTATTCCTCGATGAAGACTAAATAATTGAATGTTTCCTTGAACAGTAATATTTCCTGGTGTTCCAAACGGAGAAGATGAAATGCAGACATCAAATAGTAAAACAATTGCAAAATTTACAATCGAATGAATGGAAATCCGAGAAATGTCGGAGAATTCAGCATGCACCCTTGGGGAATAATTCAATTAATTCCAGAAGAAGAATTTTCTATTATCCAAGAACATGATGGGTTTGTTCAAGTCTCTGGCTGTCGACCCATTGCGTTCCACCGAAGTTTACAAGGGTGTGCCCTTTCGCCGGAAGTTCAAACAAATCAAGAGTACAATGAATCCTCCATCCTCGAATTTTGTCCTCCCTCAAGAGCGCACTTGTGACCATTCCAATTAATTCCGAAAAATTTTCCCTCAAAGTTCAAATGAGCTGGTGCATGATTAATAATATTAAAAAGTTCTTTTTGTCACGAGGGATAGGAAAACCCCGTTGTGGGACAAGGCGTGGCATAAAGGAGAACTAAACCCCAGGGAGTTAACCACCAGCCCCAGGAATCGATCGGTGGAAGTTGTTGCATCCTCTCACTTCCTCCTCATGGCTTTCCAAGTCTCTGTCTCATCCTGGCAAACGATGACTCCGATGTGACACCAGTTCAACCAGGAGGCACACGACACATACCAAATGACATACTCAATATTCAACATCAAACGATGACAAAAGTTCCGATTAGAGGTCACACCAGATTTATCGGGGAACAATTCAATTCAATTGACAATGAGCCGGGAAAATTGGTTCCGGTGACCGAATTCGCCGAGAATTCAATCTCTTTCTCAGTCTCGAAGAAATTCTAGAAAATAGGCACTGGATTACGCCTGCGAATGAATAAAGAAGCAATTGAATATTTTATTTAATTATCTTCATTTCATTAAATGACTCCACTCTCCTGAAAAATCTTTATTCAAAGACTTGAGCACAATTATGCGAGAAAATGATCACTGAGAAAAAACGGAGGCCTTAAGAGAAAACAAATTAAGTTTTCTTTGGAAGACTATTTCAATAACATGAAACTCATTAAAAAATGAGAAGTGCATGAGGAAAGAAAAGGAATAGTTGAAGTTTAAAATGAGAGCATTTCAAAATGTCTCCATCAACGAACATAATAAAGCAGTAAAAAAAAGTTATCGATAAAATACCCGAGGCCTGTCATTCACCTCAAAAGGACAACGAACCATTGAAAACTAGAATTACTCTAAAAAGTACCCCTGTAATAGAATTTCCATAGACATTCGCATCCTCCTCCAATTTAACTCATAAAAAATCTCCTCATCGAGATAACCCACTTCCCTGAATCAAGCAAAAAGCTTAATTACATTACCAGATTCACTCGTGTTAATTGAATTGATCCCTCAGCCACACGCTACGAGGCTATTAAAAAAAAAGGCTAATGCGATAAATAAAGTAAGAAGGGGACTGTCTTTGATCCCAGGGACAGTATAACCGAAATGAAAGAAACATTTTAATGAGGGCCTATCAATTAGATAACTCGAGCATTTAAAAGAGACAAGTAACATGCAACGATGTCAGTGGCATAAAGAACGATGTCCAATGTGATAAAATCGTTTCCCTGTACGTCATTGCCAGCCCATACAAAAGAAATCCAATAGGAAGATGCTGGGGGAAACTGTAACCCCGGAAATGACGTGTCCACACAATCATTTCTGCCCGGTTGTTAATAGAGTATCGATATTCCAATGAAATCTACGTCAAATTTAATGAAAGAAAGAACTCATTTTCCCATTTCAATTTGCGGAGAGTTAATTGAAAAACAAGGAATGAATTTTCCTCTCCAATTTATTCCATTCCTCCAGGTCTCTTTCGATTCCACTTTTTGTCATTCCAAAGGGGGAAAAAAAATAAAGGGACTTTTCCCTGCATTCAACTGGGTATTCCTTTTTTTTTTTGGAGTCTCTTGCTCTCTCATCCATCGCATCTCTTCCCAATGCAAAAGAAAGTGAGGACAACCAACCGTCGCTGTGTCGCAGCAGCCGAACAGATGTCCCTCGACAGAGGCATTTACAAGGATCCTCCAATCCCTCTGGCAAACAGGAACACCACTTTGGAATAAATAGATGTGACGACCAGATGTGGACACCCACTTCTACCCCCGTTATGTCTTCCTGCAACTTCAAGATTTATGGTGATGGGAAATTTTTGGAAATTAAAACAACTCCGACAGTTCCGTCACACGTTTTCCTTATCAAAATCTTCAGAAATTGTGGGTTTCCATTTTTTGGTTCTAATGATTTTGAATTCGAGGAAAATTTAGAATTCGAGGAAAATTTGAGATTTGAGATGTGTGACGGGTCAAATAGGGATTGTTGTGGAAAATTTTTTACATTTTCGGTTGATATTCAAAAAGTTTTTTTTGAAGTAATAATGCAGCCAGTAATAATGAAAACTAGGAATAGAAGTTTCCGATAATACAATGGTGGAATCGACTCATTTTTGATTGATGATTACGAGATATCTGGGTGACATTTTACGGTCTATTTTGATTCGTCTATTTCAGGGACACAATAACGGAAATAGGGGAAACATTACGGTGTGGGGGAAATAAGGAACCGTTTTCATTGTCATTCTTGTTCACTTCAGATCTCTGATATTTGCCCCTCGTGTCGGCTGAAAAGTACGTGATGGGGGAAAATAAAAAATAGAAAGGAAATTTCATCCGAATGCCCCATTTCCTTGAGAAATTGTCGTTTCGCATGTGTTTTTATTTTCCCTGTGGAAAATAACAGCGAAAAAAATATTGAATTTTATGTCCTCTTTTCAGAATTACCGATTTTTTTTATTTCTCTGAAAAATGCTGGGCCAAATAAACAAAAAAAAATAAAAAAATTTACCAACGTGGAATAAATTTCCTCTATTGTTTCTAAAGTTTTTGGAATTTATGAAGTTTCGGAAAACGTTGGACAATTATTGTACGATCATGACATTTTGGGAGTCATTAAATAGCGATAAAGTATTTTTTTAGGTCAATCCGATAAACAATTTGGCAGAGAAGTAAAAGAACGGTGATTTAGAAACCGACGTCGCCCTATAGCCATACCGATTTTTCTATTATTCAAACGAATTTTCCGATTTCTCATTAATCTCGAAGTGGAGTAATTATTCGATAATAATCACGATGTTGCTTTAGAAAATTATAATGTGAGATACGTCCTTGGATAACCTCCACTGATTATTCATTTCCTTGGAATACCGATTTCTCTACAGGAAAACAGTGACGGCATTTTTGAATATTAATAATTTCGTTAATAATAATTATTATTCAGAGTTCATTCAAGGTTATAATCACCATAACAATTTTCTAGAGTAATATGATTAGCATTATTAACACCTAGTCGAAACCAGCTCTCGAAGAAATAAGATTTTTGTGCAAACATTCTTCTCTCGAATGCACGAATCCTTGGAAAAAAATTATTTTCTTAGTGTGTCAATGAAATACTCAATAATTCATCTGCATTATTTGAAAATTATCAAAGATCCGGAAAATTCAGAGAAAAATAGAAAATTCCTATGAATTTATTTCCGCACATTCGAGTACGAGACACATTTTTTCAAAAAAAAAAAAATGAATTCCCTCGACTTGTCCCCAAAACATGAAATCTGATAACCATCACAAAACAGTAGTACACCCATGGGAAATGCGACAATATTATCTACAATATTTCAAGGGAAATATTGTTGGACTCCCAGCAATCCAGAATTCTCCAAAAACTCCCGAAACCTCGCATCGGATGATTTTTCCAATGTTGCCTCCAACTCCCAATGCTTTTTCAATATCTTGGCCTGATTCCCCAAGCAAATCGTACCTTGCTCCGTTTTTTATCTCTTATCTCAAGCCATTCCTTTTCGCCAGAAATATCTCGAGCATCGACCACCGATTTATCCATATTTCACCATCCGAATTGTCGAATGCATGCATCAAGAATAAATCAGCGAGATAAAACTCGTTGAATTCTTCCTCCGCGTTAAATTTTTCCCCCAATGAGAATAACTTTTCTCATTTTATCTCCAGTGTTTCAGAGATGTTGTCTGTTGGGTTTGAAATTTGCATCGACTACGGGGGTAAAAAATTTAATACCCGGAAATAGGCGATGTACGGCTTGCAAAAGAGGAGGAATATTCAACTGAAAAGTGAGATAAGGGTGCATTGAGGCAGCCCGTGCCAATGCAAAATCCCAGGATTTTTCATCCAGCGAACGTTAAACGCCAAAGGAAGTCTGGAATTACATCAGAGATGAGGGACAATATACCAAAGAGCCCATTTTTACGAACACAACAGAAAGTGTCAATGACTCCACCCTGGAAGTTGTTTATCGATGGGGCGAATCAATCCATCCCCCTCCAACAATCAATACAAAAAAAAACTATTCAACAGTGTGAAAGAACAAGGTCGTTAGACTCGTATCGATTCACGGATTGATAACGAAAAAAATACACCCTGACATGCTATTGCTGTACACAAGTAATCCATTAACTCAGGAATGTAAATTACCACTCGATTATTCTATCCACAGGGCTGTATCACCTGAAACGGAGTCTGTACTGTCACTGTTTTCGTCAATAAGTGGTAAGAAGAGAAAAAATATTCTCGATTTCCATGAAATATCCCCTTGCTGTAGGAACTTGATTTTAATTAGTTGAATACTTGACTCGAGACATCTGCATTTGAATTTTAAGAGGAGTTTTCACTGAGTTTTCTAAGAGGAAAAGATAGTTAGGATCGAGTGCTTCCAAAGTTGAAGGTTTTTTCTGAGAGCAAGAATGAATTTTACTCTTTCCATATTAGAATGAATAAAGTCTCATTTTGAGATAAGTTGGAAAAAGAAAGAAGAGAAAATTTAATCTCATGTGTAGTCTCCGAGCGATCATTAATTACTTTGCAACAATTAAAAAATGAATTAAGCAGCAGAGAATACGGATAAATTAAAATAATAATTATATCGATTGATCTCAAAACCATTAGTTTTAGGATTAAATACGAAAATGCCTTCATTGGAAATTTGATCAGCTGTAAAAAGGTCCTCGAGTTTTTCTACTTTACAGGACTGATCGATAAGAAAACCGTTAAATTCTTGTCACCTTATCAGGCATCTATTAACCCCGCCGCAATAGTTAATTTTCACAATGTCAATTATGAAACCACAAAGGCTCATAATGTCTAAACTCATAAAATATCAATTAAAATCACCTTAAAATCCTTAACAGTGAAAATCCATCTACGACCCAAAGAGCTTAAAAGACTCACCCACCCTGAAATCGATCCCGAAAAAGGGTAATTCCACCCTCTCAAAAAGCCCAATAAACAATAGCACTAAAAAAATGGTAACAGCGTTTATTTTCCAGGAGACTGATGAATATTCAATAGCCTTCTATAATTCCAGTGTAAAAGCCCGCATAACAGAAAAGAGAAAGAGACAATAAAAAAAAAAGTAAAATTGCTACCCCGAGTGCTTTCTTTCCACCCCCTGGGTGGAGGGTGTTGGTAAGATGATGACAGTAGTCTCGCATTGCTCATAATATCCCGTGTCACGAGAGCATAAAAAGAAATACTGAAAATTTCTTGCAGTCGGCAGATAAAATTTTTCCCCTGTACACATACCACCCATGTATATCGATCCCCCCCAGGTCGAGTTGTGTGCATGTGAAAAAAAAGGAGACGGAAGAGGGGCAACAGCGAGCGCCACCACGTTCTGTCTTTCTCGAGGGAGCGGCGCTCAACGGAGATGGCTTGTGTAGCTTGTTGTTACGGATTACCCCTGGGATTATCCTATCCCCTCCACAACAACTAAATCCAATATATCGTACGCGAATAACATCTTCTTACCCTCAAAATAATCATCAAGAAGGATAAATAAGAACTCAACAAAATAAAATATACCCGTACTCCTTTTTCTCCCCTTTGCTCCTCTCTACTCCTCTTTGCTCCTTTCCACTCCTTTCTACCCTCCACAATCCACCATAATACCCGTAATAAATGTCACACGAATTTTTCCCAATGAAAAATCTACAACAAAAATTGAAATTCCAGAATACCAGAAGGAGAGCTGCAGCTGTGGTGGATTGAACCTACGGATTAGTCACTGAAGGATTCCATGAAAGGACTATTTGTGTTTTCACTTGCAATATTGTAATGTTGCAATATTGCAGGTGGTGTACGTTCAATGGTGGTAATTGTCTCGGATGTTTTTTTAGGAAATTATGGGACTCACCTTTGCTTGTTTTCAGTGACAAATCCAAATACTTGAACAACACGATTATTTCGACACTCTCGGATTGCCGAGGATCACGATACGGAGCCCGGAGCTCAACTCTCGGTGACTACCGGTCCCCGTTTATGCGCGATGGAAATATCAGTTGCAGATGGCGACATCAACGCGGGTATTTAACTCCAGCCAATGGGAGTGCTGTCGGCCATTTTTTTTTTCAGTTGTTCATTGCCGCTCACTTCCGAGCGATCCCGAGAGCAGATCGGAGGAAAAGTATGGACCCGTTGACTCCTGGGGGATTACCTCCTTTTACATCCCCAGGTGATTATTTTGTTATTGTATTAGAATTGATGGGCTATTATTTTTGGGCTGTCAGTGGATCCTAATTAATTTTTTGTGTACATTATTTCGGTTCTGTTACTTGCGGTTGACATTTCATGGAGGAAATTGTACCTGGACTTGAGTTTTTAAGGACGTGGAGATGATGAATATGGATGAGCCCTATGTGACATGCGGAAGAGCGGAAGTTACCGGAAGTTGACGAGATTGCGCAGTTTTATCATTCTTAAGACCTTTTCTTTAGTTCCTGATTCAATATTTATTTTTGGATGGAGAGCCGCGTTTAGACGAGTTGAAAGGGATTTTGGGAATTTCAATCCCCTGGGGATGATGTTGTTTGTCAATGGGAGAATTTTTTTGAACGAGGAAATTAATTCTCTTGGAGATTGGAAAGGTTTTAGATCAGTTGATTCTTTTCTCAATCTCTCGGAGAATGCAAAATACAAACGAACGTCATTCGAATTTTCATTATGCAATTTTCCAGAATTTTCTTCATTGCATTAAATCAAGTACAAGTCAAGAATTCCTGCAAATATAATTGAAACTTGAAGTAAAATCCATCAGACGTATTGAGGCAGGGTTTAAAAATTGATAGGCTGCACATCCCAGTTTCTGAACGCATGAAAAAAATTTTATATCTCTGAATGACTAAATTATCATCAAATCCGGCAAAATTTCTCCAGGTATTACAAAACGCTCATCCACTGGAACACTCCCCTCAAATAAATCGTACTCCAATTTATATCCCAGTTTCTCTATGTATTTTCAACAAAAATTAAAGTGATTATTCGATAATATGGATTGATAATATTTCATACAATAATAATATAATAATTATAATAGTCATCCCTCAGTCAGTTGAACGGGAATAATGCACAAACACATTTGAAATCATAAGTCATTAATTTCTGCTCCTCGTTAAATAAAAAAAAATTATAATAAACGAAATTGACACACCTATTCTCCACTCCATTCACTCTACACTCTTCATGTGATATCTCTTCAACGTGGATGCGTATACGGGTGCGTTTCTCCCACCTCTGTTCATAAATTCATGTGACTAGTTCTTTAAAAATTTTACATCTCTCATTTTATTTTTTCAAAATAATAACTAACATATGTATTTCAACTCATTATTCCTATTTACATATGTATATTACTTTTTTCATTTAATGTTATATAAAACTCTTCTCACTTTCACTATGAAAAAATCATTGTCTCTACCTGGAATGATAATCCTGAAGGGAAAAAGAAAAGCAACCCCTGTCAATTGATGCCAGAATAATCGATAAATGAATAAATATTTTGTTGATAATGAAGGCTCATAGAGAAAGTTTTTCATTAAAAAATTTTGCGTATCAATTGTGTCGAGATAAGGCCACTAGTGGATGATACGAATACAGTACAAACATCAGGATCATGTCCGTGTACTAAATATCTCTAAATCGCTGACATCACGTCCTTGAACGAAAAACACAAAGTTCTACTCCGTATAAAAGAGAATAAAATCACGCAACACATCTCTGCAACCTTCTCTTTCTTCTTTTTAATCCCTTGTTTCTCCCAATTAAAAGAGAATTTACTCGCATTATTGTCACAGGCTTGTGCTGCCAAATATCCTATCCTATCCTGAGAACATCATCTCAGAGATATTCTATCAGTGCTACCCTCGATTCAGGCATTCGTAAAAGCCATAACTTCAGACCCTCAGTTCATTGATCTCACGGTAATATGAATCTAAAAAAATGTACGACACGCACTTTCAGAGAATAGTCTTCAGTTATACGAAAAAAAAAATTAATGTGGGATTGGTAATTTGAAATGTTTATCTGAGATCTCTCGTTGCTCACGAAAATTACGAAACGGTAGTAAAAGACAGTTACAAGTAGGTGAGCAATTAGTTTGCCTATTGGAAATTATTTTACATATCCAAAAGTTCTCTTGGCTAACAGACTACTGCAACGATCTTAGTATGTGAATAAAACCAGTCCAGGCACTCTACTCCATAGCCAGATCCCTATCTGGCTCAAATTGTATGTTACAATGTTGATTCGTGAATTACAGCTGTGTCTGGATCACTACGAGCATTCTGAATTATCGCTGGGGGTTGACTTGGTGTCAGCGTTATGGAGGACGTCTTTCTCACTGGTTTTGGCGAGGCCTAACAACAGAATAACATTCCCATCATAAATTCCTTCGAACAAATAAATAAAAAATATTGTTTGCGCATTGAATCCGTATCACGACAAAAAATGCACATATCATTGATAGAAAAATATATTGATTATTATTTTTCCAATATTCAGCGGTATTTTCCCATGACAAAAGCCCGCCTTGAAAAACCCGCCTTGGAACGGGTATTTCCATAGATCTTTACTTTGGGTATAAAACCCACTAAAACTTCTCTTCTTGACGACCATAAAATAAAAAAAAACGAAGAAAACCCTAATTTAAACCCCATTTCCCAACTCACCCATTCTCTCCTAGACGGTGCTTCGTCATCAGAATAATGATCAATTTCGCCAGTCTCCTCCCCAGTTTCCGTAGCAACGTGCCTCTTATTGGGCTGCAGAGTCGCATAATTACGACATCCACGATTAAAATTATTAAGATTTTTCTCCTCAACAATTTTCTCCTGGCAGAGTACCTCCTGAGATTTGCTCTGCTTGTTATTCGTAATAACTCCACAACTATTTTTATTATTGAAATAGAAAGGCGGCATCCTGGAGACCCAGTGATCGATACCAGAGCCCGTGGAGCTAGTGGATGCAGCTGATGAGTTGCCAGCAGAATTGCTGCTTCTCCTCTGATAAAAAAGCATATAGGCAGCATTTGTTATCAAATTGGTGTCATTGACAGCCTCGACTCTGGTGTCATCGAAGCAGTACCACTGCGTGTCGTATGGATTCCTGCAGAAGGCAGTGTAATGTCCACCCTGTAGGTCCTGCCCATGGTGATTGCAGATGGCATAAAGATCGTAGACATTCTCATCATACTTGGGAATGTTATGATGACGTGTTCGTGGCTTTTTCCAGGGTGACCAGCCCAGTGCCCCAAGTGTCGTGACATTCGTGTGATTTGGCTGGACCCCACCGTGTGCTAAATGTGGTGTCATATCGAATCCGTACAGAGGAAAGTCTACGAGCATCGTCAGCTTGGACGTTGACCTCTGCTTAGCTGTTTGCTGACGAAATCTCTTGAGATGAATCACCAATATATCTGGCAACGACCACAGCCCTAATTTCTTCACGACCTCCTGCTTTCTGTTGCAGTACGGACAGTGCCAGGCATCCTCAGCTCCCAGTATCTCCTCCCTCGTGTACAAGTCAAAGCATTCCTCCAGGGTTACTGTTCCCCCCAGCTCGGCGTTCGTTTTCATTTGTTTCACACTTGCGTGCTCCTCTATTTGGTCAGAGTCATCCTGGATTATGTTGGATTTCGTTGCATCGTCCCACTCGAGGATGAGCTTGACGTGCTGGGGACCTGAGTCGTCTGCACACAGGGCCAGGGCTTGCTCTATCTGTTCAGTGTACAGGGGATGTTCTACACAGGGATCGATGCAGGGGTGTTCGTCCTGGATTGGCGTTGCGGCAGGGTCTGCCACCCTGATGTTGAAGAGGCCTGGGGCTTGGCTCGACGTTAACACGTCCTCCGAGAGCGTCGTATGCATCTCCTTCAGGAGCAACTTCTGCAGATCCTCGTAGGATGTCTCTCGAGATATTTGCATCGTGTAGGGACTGCCGAATCTTTCGCGCAGATTTCCTTTCACTAGAACGTTCACCCATACCAGGAGGATGTAGGCTTGTTCTGTTGGCTCTTTCAGCTGGGGCAGCTCCACACAGTACAGGGGATCATTCTCGGTTATCACTGAGAGGGGCTGGCAATCCGAGAACGTTCTGGAACAAAAGGGGATCGGTTATGATTTCACTATTGAATTCAAAGTACTTAAATAATTTTTTTGGCATATTATGAATTTTCCGGAAAATTCTAAATATGGAAAAATCTGTTGATTTGAAGAAAATTATTCCATTATTGTATAAATCTTCCTCAAAGGCCGACTTCCTATCGCTTTTCGCGTCTGAAAGGTATTGCGTTGATTAATGATTCATATAAAAGATTAGAACTGGAAAAGTTTACGAGAATATCACTGTCCTATTTGAATCACATTTGACTCTTTTGCCCTGAATAAATTGAAAAAAATCATAGAAACTTTCAGATCTCGTTCTGCAAATAAAAAACCAAAAAATGCCCTACTTAAGCCGTCGCCAAGGTGAGATCCCGCCATTGAAATGAGTAAAAAGTTTCACGTTTTCGTTTATTACCTGTGGAAACCTTCATCATGTACTTCAGTCAAAAGCATGTGACTCTCCTCAATACCAGTATCACTGGCAAGTATCTCCCGAAGTTCCTTAATATTCGCAGCTTGATTCACAGTGACCCCAATCCTGACTTGTCGAGGCTGCTGTGACGTGTACAAAACATTAACAAAAAGATTCATTTGCCTCTGCTGTTGTGGCACTGGAACCGAAACACAGAGAAACGGATCGAACGTATTTGATTGTCGATGACACCTGGGGCAGGTCAAACTCGATCTGAATTGGGCCTGGAAAACCTCGTGGACGAATGAGTGATTGCATCTCACATGATTAGCCAGTGTTTCAGCTGCCACGATGTCGTCGGGTCGTCCAAAGGAGTTCTACAATTGACAACAATTGGTATTTTCACTACGTCATATAGATACAAACATTCGTGGAATGATGTGAATGATGACATTACAGTGGCTTTTTCCCCCGTACTATCTACTCACTTCCTCGTTGTATTGCTCGATAAAAATATCAATGATAGTTTACAATAGCTATTTTTACTTTAACGCGACTGCTGTCACTCTGCACATGAGCCTATCGCAGACAGTCTATTTGCTGGTCGGTCGTTGTCTCCTCAAGGACGAGACCCACATTTCTGACTGTATCGTTTACCTTTTTTTTTCATCGTCTGGGTAAATACATGCAGATGTTTTTTGTGGTTGCACGAGGTCGATTTGAATGTACGGGGTGACAGAATGAGAAATGGACTGGTCGCTCCTCGAGGGTTATTGAGATTTAATTGGAAGTTAAGTGGAGTTTTTGGGTGTTTAAGAGGATTGAGATTTATTGCATTAGAAGGTTTTCCACGGTGAGGAGAATTCCGAAATTTACCGTGGAAATTCAATGAGGTAAATCAACGGTAATTGATGGAAATTGCAACGCAGCGATGACAGTTAAAATCCGAATTTCTCTAATCATTCAATCTTTCCATTGTTGTATGCAATTAGTGTTATTTTCACTCGGGTTTCGTCATATTGAGTGATTAAATATGGAATCGTTACTCAATTGCAGATTTATGGTGACGTTTTAGGAAAGCTGTGAGGAAGTGAAATGCTTTCATTGTCGATTTTTTTGTAGAGGGAATTATCGATATCCTGATGGATTTCGAGATTAGTAGCAACAACTGAAGAACAGACGTAAAAATAAAACTATTTTATTACCTCTGCTACTGAATTAAACATCGCATTGGTAAGAACTTTGAATATCTTCGAAATTCAAGGCAATCGTCGCCTCAATTTTCAAGTATTTTACGGATTTTCATGAATTTTTAATATTAAAAATCGACATGTTGTATACATATTTTTTTACGTTGTTGTGAAACTACGTATCACAATTCCAGCCTTGAATCTTACCTCAAGGCCCAGTCACAATTGATTGAATAATACAGATCGTGATAATAGAGGGGAAAGGAATAATTATTCATTACGCAATGCCGAGAATGAGGAAAAAACGTGCAGGTGATGATTATTTCGGGAAGTGGAGCGAATTAATTTGTGAGTGTTGCAGAGTTTTGCGGTGTTTAACATGCAATTTTGCAATGATGTTTGAGGAGTGAGCACGAGCATCAATTGTCACTATGGTGACAAAATATTTAGCTGGGCTACGGGATTATTTGGGGCGACTGATGATAATTGCAAGTTTTAACTCGCCCAGGGCCTGGCTAAGGTTTCATGTAATGGGATCACAATTACAGGGGGAGAGGTGACTCAGTTGAAACACGTGAGCTCGTGGTGCCCTTGGATCTTTCGGATGTCAATTTCATGGCTTCGTACATCCAAGAAATTTCAAAATTGTCAAGCTTTAATTAGACTTCTTTTTCTTCACCCATCATTTTGCAATGATATTCTGTTTACTTGTTGTAAACCTTCAGGAACTATTTTCAAAATCTAAAATCCTTTTTAGAAAAAATTTTCAATTAATGAATTTTTGTTTTCAATCAAATAATTAAAGATGTTAACGATTAATTGATGAGGGATTTTGTCCAGAAGATTTTTGTTGGGGAAATAACTCCGAGAACCGGAAAATTCTTCCACGATGATGAAACTTCGTGGGGCATGAATAATGAATAATAATAAAACTTCAAAACGGTATATTTTTTCACATCAATTTTATAATGAGAAGACATCGGCAGTAACTCCTTAAATAACGGAAAATCGGTAATTTATAAAAGCATAAAGTGAGAGTATACTCAATTTCCCCTTCGAAACCCATTTGTAAATATGAAAGATAAAATAAAAAAATTGTTTTCCAGGAAGATTTACACATTAATTGAGGCATCACTCAAATGAAATCAATCCTGTTCAGTTTACCTTTCCTGACTAAATGGAAAAAGCAAATAAAACAAAACCTCATTGACATTGAATAACTTAAAAAAAATAACATGGTCTGCACACTCGAGAATGCCCACGAAAGAGCCGAGGCAAACAGTAATTAATACTCAGTTCAGCTCCAACAAAATTTTCACTGTATGCACGCGACGTGGACGGAGAAAGTGAACGTGAAAAAGAGCCCACACTTGGCTGAAAAGAGAAAATAAATTCCATTGTTACCAGGAAGAGGCACATGAAAATGTTCGCCTGAAATTATGCCTCACTGAACAACAATTTCATGGAAAAAAAAAAAGTTTACGGTCATTAGGCATCCAGGGCTCTCGAATATTTGACGTACAATTTTCAACTATTCAAACAAGGAAAGAGTAACGATTTTCGGAGTAATTGCAAGACTGAGGTGAGTAATCCACCGTGAAGGACATCGTCTCGTGTCTCCGCCAGATACTGCGGATATAGATATACCCCATGTGACATCGGATTTCAATAGCTCCTGTGCCAATAATTCCTTATTTATTGCTTGTGGTATTAAGTAGAACTTGGAGGCAATTAATGTCTAATAAACAGACTATAATTTTCATATAACATGAAAACGATAACGCCGTCACTGATTTTTCTACTCATAAATTAATGATAATAAAATTAATAAGTAAGTAAATTCAAGTCAAGTTTAATTACAACGATCTACTGCGGTTAGAATAATTATCATCATGCACAATAAATCATCTCATAAGATTTATCAAATTTCATTCGCTGCTCGTGTGTTGGAGTTGATGATTACTCCTTATCAATTTGTCATTTTTTACTTTTTTTCAATATAAAATAGTGACTAGCAAATGAAAATATTCAGATTGGAGACGTAATCATCATTTTTCTATAAAAATTTTTTCATCAATAATCTAATACGTATAGACGTCATATAATTAAATCGACACGTGATAGATGTGATACAATAAATTGTCTTTCTCGATTTCGTTATTCCACGGCCAATTTTTAGGGCTTGTTTTAATAAAAAATATTATTTTATCCACAGCTTTTGTGATAAGTATTTTTAAGGTCTGCCTGTGATTCACCAATTCGTCCCACGCGCCTTCATTGTGGCATGAGTGCGCTTATAAGTACGTGCAGCCTGTTTTTTTTTTAATGAACTCCCCTCGGGAGGTTTGACGGGAGTGTAAAATATACTCAAGTTCAGAGTAAAAAGAGCAGGAAAAACATTTGATGTTTAAAGAGCGAATGGCAGTGTGAGGATATGGTCGAACCAACACGAGGAACTTGTTGATTGGTTACTGAGCACGTCGCGTATTTCAAGGTCTAGTCCGTGCTCTGGTGTGTAAATTCACTCGAGCATTGAGAGCTGAGATCTGCAGGAATCGGTTTGAATAACGGAGCAAACGCCCTAATCTTACGTATTTACAGAGAACAACAATCGATAAGCTCGAGAAACAAAAATAATGGAATTTATTCTGGATTATCAAACGAGGAGAATGGAAGAAGTGTATTTTTAAACTTTCCTTTGAAAAAAGTCGTGGAGTAGTCGAGTGAGTTCTTGATTAATGCCTCTAGATCCACGAGTGGTAGCGAAATTTCTGCAACAACTTTTTTCTCTAAAGACTGCGACAACTGCAAAAATAATCCGCTCGAATATCTGCCTCCCAGGTTCTGATTATAAAAAATGCCAAAGTTTAACTGCCTTGGTCTATTTAGATTATTAAACATTACTTTAGATTAGTTTTTCATCGAGTAATGTGAAACACAGAAAAGGTCTCACTAATATCGTAAGATAATTGCACAATGCCGGGAAAATTGATGTGGTTTTTTAAATTGCGGAAAAATCCATTAATCTCTAGCCCCTAGATCAAAATATTCAGATCCTTATAAATAATCCGTCGAAGCCTGCCACGGAATCAAATATCATTCTAATATTACACACATTATGACTCAGGGGAACTGTCAAGGCTATAAAAGGCACCAGTTAAATAAAACTATTGTTTTCCCTGAAAGTTCAATGTGACGATGATTCACTCGCCCACTCAGAAGCCCTCCCCCTCAAGTCATTGCATCATTTCCCTCCTAATCACCCAGTACTTTCAATCAGCTCTGATTCCCTAGAAACTCAATCATAAGACGCAGAGTCAAGCATTTTAATCTAAAAATCTCTAAAGCATCCTCAATCGTCTCCTAACGGCATCCGTAGTGCTCCGTTATGCACAAATAAAACAACACACGACCTCAAAAAGAAATATGGAAAAATTGGAATTTCTCGCACTCATTTATCTCCCCACATTCCTCATCTCGACCTCATAAATAACAGTCTCCCACCCAACATGTGCCTCAATCAGGCCTCGAGTTATTGTCATCAACAGTATCACTCATTACGTTCACGAAACATATCGAATTACATCCATAATCCTATACGTCTTAATCAGATGATTAAGGCGAATAAATATTTAAACCAACTGTCAGAAATGTCTGCACTCAATTTATAACGTGCTGTAGTCGTGCCCAGTTGATGACAATCGTAACTTCAACTCGATAAATTCTTGAAATAACTCTGTCATTATAATCATATCTTCCATCGTTTTAGAATGATAGGAATTCAATACATCACGGATAGATGGTACGATTTGAATGAATCATGCTCCATTTTGAACCTTGAAAACTATTTCAAAAAGGAGCTAATTTTTATTGATTCGTTTTGTTTTATACAATGGATACAATGCAGATTAGGATTTCAGGAAATTTCGGGTGATATAATTTATTATGTACAGGAAATGAAGTAATTATTCATAGATAATAATGTCAGCATAGTTTTAGATTTTTATAAACTTCCTATGAGTTTCTCCTCTAATGCCGACCTTGATGGAAAAAAACTGACAGTCAGGCATTATCGATGACAATCGTAACTTCAACTCGATGAGCTAATGAAATAATTCCATTCCCCCAGTATTTTTGTAAACGAACTCAATCTCAAATATTTCCTGATTAAATGATACGACTCGTTGAAATAAGCACTCGTATTAAACCTCTAAAACTCCATAACAAAATGGAAGAAAAAAAATTGTAACGAATTCCGTTGTTCTTGAGTATTGACAACATGTTCAGCTCTTAATCTCCTGCTGCATTATGCAATGTAACACGAGAGGTGAAGGATATTATTTCAGAATCCAAAAGAGATGACAATTAAATAAGCCTCCAGGGGAAAAATGAACGCCACACTTGAGAAAATTGTTGAATGATTACCTTAATAATCTTATACTTCTTCTTGGTGGCCTGATTAAGGTCTTCATGGACCTTATCCAAGAGCCACAAGAGGAACTCCTGTGCATCGTGCTGAAGATTGCCCCTGTACTGGCTGCCATATTTATCGACAACGCTCTTGAAAGCAGTGCTCATCTCAGGATCATACTGACAGCTCCAAATAGCCTTAAGCAGGAGAGCGAGTTGTTCAGTGATTTCCCCCTTCGTTCCATACTTCTTGGAATTGAGTTTATTCCTCCTGGACAGATCAACCTTGTACTGATCGAGGACAAAGTACTCAGCAAGTATGTCAGTGTGCGAGAGACACTGGAGGACAGCATTCATAAAACAAGTATTGCCATGATTTCTGAGACCAATAACCCCAGGTACCCTGTCAGGGGGTATGTGGGCAGGCCTTGGGGGTGGAACTCTCATGTCATTGGCACTAGATGCAATGTCATCACGCCTAGCCACTTTATGACTCTGTACACTCGACATATGCTGTACCATTTTATTGAGAAATTTCCTCCACGAGGGCTTCCTGAAGACCCTCTTGCCAGGCTTATCCTGGTAATTATTGCTGTTCGATATACCATTGTCACTCATTCTAATGCTGTCACGACTGTTGTTATTGTTCTCCCTAGTGTGTTTACTACGTCTTCTGGACATTCTCGTTGCACTTTGAAAGGGATTTTTCGGCAATGTGAACGTTCTTTTGAGTCGAGAATTGGGATTTCGGAGATCTTTAACCTCATCCACGCCCAGGATTGTTGAATCACGCGAGGCGATTTCACCGAGTTCACCCTCCGACACTGATTTCATAACCGGGCCGATTTTATCACTGTTCATCGCCCGGGTCCCTTGCTAATTTTTTTTTTTATATTTTAATTTTTTTCTTACTTATTCAAGAGAAAAGGCTCACCCGTCCTCAACACTTCACTTTGTCTTGATTCTTGTCACTTCACGATCATTTGGGGGAGTTGGGAGGGCTTTGGTAATCGGTGGATAATCCCTCCGGGGGAATATGGGATTAGGACATCGTCGGTTTGACCTGGGGAACCGTTAAATCGGAAAAACTTGGAGGCAAACACCACTCGATGGCGGCCATTTGCCCACTCTGGGATTTTAATCGTGTGCCAGGGAGGATACACTGACGCCAAATCGTACACTGTCGGATAATTACCGAGTACCACGGACAATTGGGGATGGGTTTGTCGGGGAGAGGTATGCGCAGGGTAACTACCGTAACATACGGCACTTGGCTGACTTCATTATTGCGGCTTCTTGACGGAGCTTTTCACTGGTAGACGGCAACGCCATACATTACACGTCGCGCGGGCAACTGTTTTTCCCGCGCCCTCGCGACATCTCACGGTGGAACCCGCCAAATTCAAATTTCACGCGCAGAGCGCTCTTTCATCGCCACACGATAAGTCCTCATTCATCCCATTCAATGATATGCAATTATTTAATTTTGGGTAAAAAAGGTGTTTTGAATTTTCTTTTTCAATAACATCAATGGTTTTTTCTAGATTGATGGATGCCTACTGATATTCATTTTTATTTATTAATATTAATATTTATTTATTGTTTATTATTTATTGTTATTTATTAGGAAGAAATCGTTTTTTTTTTCAATTATTTAAACCCGTTATACATGATTTTTAAACATATTATTTACGTTTTTTCTATTTTTGTCACATTTATTTTCAAGTAGCCGATAAATATTTAATTGTTCTATTTATCTTTGGTTAAACACTGAAACTTGTTAACAATTGAGAATGGAACACTTTTAAGGATGTTCTGCCGGTATTTTGTTATTTTTTCTATTTTTCTGATATTTATTGAAAACTATCGATCGGATTGGGATATGAAAATATAGCGTTTGTTCGTTATAACATAATGTACTCTTTCACAAAGTTTCATCCTGATACACCAATTCTTATAACTTTTCACTAAAATTTATTAATTTTTTATTAAATTCGTAACTAATATAAGGCAATGGTTGTGAGATAGTTTTTTTCCAAAAATTTCCAAAATTTTCTGGGGATGAAGTGATTTTTCCGAGGAATTCGCGGAACGGGTAGAACCCGTCAGCACTAAAAAAAAATGCTGACATGCGATGTTTTGGAATTCTTCTGGAATTTCGATGATGGCAGTTGAATTTTTTGAATTTTAATATTTTGAGGATGGAGTGGAGAATTGGACAGCAACAGATAGCAGTTGCTTGTCAGTGGTTCACCGAATCATGTGGGTTGGAGTTGTTTTCATTCTTATCGCACCGGATTTCTGCTTATCATTGGCATGGGATTTTGCCAAGTTCAATGTCACTGGGGGTATCCCCATCTGGAGGTTCGCGATTTGGAGGAATCGTGTGTTCTTCGCGGTTCCGAGGTGAATTGACGTAGAGCTGATTAGAATGCGTTAATGTGTAATCATAATTAAGGTAGCTAGAATAGTTTACGTTCATAACATAGAGGAAATCTGGTGTTTCCCGAAAATATTTCCGTCAGTATATTTTAAATTATCCTAAAATACTCGCCAAACCCATAAAAGTCCAAATGAAGAAAGCACTGAACTCTAATTATCCATTTTTTATCTTCATTTATTCATTAGATGGGGTAATAATTCAGACTCTCATGCAACATTGCTGGAAGCCCCTTGGTATCCAGATCAAACACCAGAACTATCGTTTCTACTCCCACAGACCTCAAACGTCTCGGCATACCCAAGCGTTGAAATTCAAGAGCCTAACGACCTCTGCAAAAATTTGATTTCGATCATCGGACTAGATACCGACAACCGAGGCCGTCTCTGGGTGTTGGATGCACCAGAGAATTCTCATTGTCCAGCTAAGGTCATTATCTTCGATCTCCGGAAAAACGAGGAAATCAGTCGGGATGACTTACCGGGAATTTCGCAAAAACGATTGAGAAATTTGATTGTCGATCCCGTCGTGGGACCCCGGGGATACCGGGCATATCTTGGAGACGCTGGAGACGATTCCCTCCTTGTGTACACGATAGGTAAAAAAGATTATATTATGACGTAATCATCCCGTGATTTTCTCTCAATTTATTTCTGTTTTGAGTACATTGATGTTCAGGGCACAGCGGGCATCGAACCTGGTGGAAGCTGAACCTCCATCGTCCCCCGGATGTCCGAAACATCATCGCCACAGACCTCGCGATTTGCCGGAGGAATCAGCTCTTCATGACCGGTGGCAATTCGCTGGATCTCTTCAGCATTAACCTGGAGACCCTGAGAAACGAGGAGCCTCCAGCGATCAGTTCATCCCAGAGAACGAATGTAACTTATCATGGAATAAAAATGGGAGTTTCCTCGGGCCTGATTTGCGATTCAAAGGGTGGCCTTCACTATTTCCTGGTTACAGAGTACGCGAGTGTTCGATGGGATACAAAGCACGATTTGAAAGTAAGAGTCGTGGGCTACTTTCCCAACGTGCATTTATCGACTGGAGGAATCGATCCCAGTGTTAGCTGCATCCGAATTGTACAACACCGGATTCAATGATTTTTTTTTCCCCCCTGTCGAGGCATATCATTAAGTTAATTAACAGGTGTTGGCTCGCACACTTTTTTACCCTCATTCTCTTGACTCAATTTACAGGCAGCTAATCACGCTATACTGCTGCAGAGTGAGCAGGTACTCAGCTTAACTGATTATAGAATGGACGTGCAGAAAAATATCTGGGGACTGGTCAACGCGCGACATCCTTACTTGGCAGTAAACCAGAATTCTCGAGATTACGTGGAATTAACTGATCGGCTCGTTAGAGTTTCCAAGTTTGTTTTATTTCCTCCTTAACTCTTTGGCCTTCTAGTGATAAAAAGCGGTGTGTTATCCCCTATTTATTAGAATAAACAAATTTTTTGGTAGATTCAATTAATTGTATCTTTTCCTCATTAACCCCGAAGGAATCCCTCAGTCAATTACGGGGGAGAAGAACTGAATTGAATTTAAAAATTTTCGTAATTATCTATTTATTTTGAAAACTATCAATTGGAGGGAATTGAATTTCCGACACAAAAGATCTTTTGATATGTTCTTTTAATATCAGTAGTTTTTTACATTAATTGATCTTCAATAAAACTGTAAAATTGTAATTTATCTCACTTTATCATTTTGATACTGAATTTGTCAATTAAATTGCATGGAAAATAAATGAGATACAGAATTTCCTACGACTATTTTATGCGGAATTCGAATGTATCCAGTACATAATGCAATTATTTCTGAGAAAAAGTTTAACGAGAACTTGTGGCAAATTCATAACTAATTCTAATTCTTTCTTAGTTTTTTGTATTGAAATTTCTATAAATTACTCTCGTACGAAATCCTTTACAACTTTTCGTCATAGCAGCTGCTCTTTCTTCTAGAATCTGTCCAAATCCTTTGTAGCGTCAAGTCTAGAAATTTTAACAGGAAATTTTATAATAACGCGATTGAATTTGCAATTTCATCGTCCTTCGATTGAATTTATAATTGATCAGTTCGATTGATAATTTTCTCATTAAAATCGTAATCAATCATCGATCTCTGTTGAATAATTAGTGTCTGTGTGTAAATTACTGTTATTACACCTACCTTATCTAGGTCAAGGGGTGTGTTTTATTGGTCAATTCTCCAGAGCACTAAATCATACATTACCCTAAAAAATCACGTCTTGTCTGGTAAAAGCAATTAAATCCCGACAACGTACGGGACATTAACAGATTCACGATTGAGTCGATAATTTTATTGATTCTTCTGGCCAACACGCGGCTAAAAACGTCAATTAGCTTGAAGCGATCTAATTACACTGGTTGGCTTTGTCCATTAGCGAGCCTTCTGCTCTCATTAATTATCAAACAACAATTATCCCTCGTGACTAGAGCAACGGAAGTTCAATCATGGAAATCATTGAAACAAATACTCCTCGTAATCTTCGTATCACTCGATAAAATGATCGAATAAAAACCTGAGATCAACTCTGATGAATAGCTTCCGTCAGTTCGAGAGAAATCGTTGGGCTTTTTTTAGGGATTCAAAGTAATTGTTTAATCGTCTTGGTTGACGATCGGGTGGATGTTTATAGAGGCACCACTGCAAGGCACAGTATTCTGGATGTAATCCTGGATGTTGCTGTCGAGAGTCCACATGAGTTTTTTGTACCCTGGCACGACGTGGGTCGAAAGTCGACAATCGTTGCCCTTCTGCACGAGAATGAAGTTCTCCAGTTTCATGCTGGTGTCGGTGTTCCACATGTATATGTCTGAGTCTCCTGAAAGTTCAAACAACAGACTGATTATTTACTCCGTCATTCATACACCACGAAGAAGTGAAAAACAGACACATTTCTTTTATTATCAAAAAAATTATTGTAACGTTTTGTGTAACCGGGTTATTTTCATACTGCACTGTGCTGCATTTAATCACGTACATATACATGTTTTTAATTATATATGTATGTATATATATTTATATGTTTTCTTTTTGGTCAACTTGCAGGTGATTGTTGATCGATTTGGGATTGACCCATTAACGAATCACTCTTAAAGTTTTCCTTTCCTTTCCTTTTACTCCCCTGACATTTTTTAATTTTGATATCTTCCATAAATTAACAATTCCTCTAAATTCTCATTCGCTCAAAATATCAACAAAAAGAATATTTTACGACTGACTGGGATAATTATTTTCTTAATATTTAAAAAATTTCAGGCCATTCTTTTATTTATATACATATATATAAATATTTATGTGTATACTTTGCATAACAATTCTGTTATGACGGTTTGTCTCATTTTTAAATAATAAATCCCTACCGAATTGAATAGATGAGAAAATAAAAATGTACGAACCTTTCCTCCGGAAGAAGATGTTGGAGCCGTTGTCGGTGCCCAGGAATACGATTTTACCGATTTTGGGACCAACATCGACGATGTACCCATCGGTATTGCCTTTCCTCAAGTAATCAGCCTTGATGCTGAAGACTCGGCTGGAGCCGAGGTACGTGAAGTAAAGGACTGTAGTGCCATCGTACTTTCTAGCAAGAGCCATGTAGAGGACATCCCGGTGGTTGGACCCCAGGCTGACAGCCTTCGGTAGAGTCACTGTGAGGCCAGTATCAGAGATTGCCTCGTAGACGATGATGCTGCGATTGGATGCGTCCGAAATGTACAGGAATACTCTGCCGTCAGGGGCATAGTCCACGATGATCTGCTGGAGGCGAGAGGATTCATCCACCAGTTCAGAGAGCTCCACTATTTTGACGACCTGGATTCATCAAAACAAATTCATTTCATCCGATTAATTCTAAACTGGAAAAATCAACCGAAAAATTCAAGTCGATTCAAACGTATTTAATAATTAATAATTGATGAGATCAATGATCGCGTCAGTCCAATATCATCGGCATAAATACATTTTCCTCTAAATGTCCATTTGTTGTTGGAATATTTAAAAAAAATACGAAATTGTAGATAAATCCATGAAAATGACGATAAAACGTCAAAATGGAAAAACGTTACTTTTTTTTCCAGTTAGTCCCATCGATTATTTGCCAGAAAGAAAGAGGCGCGAATTTTGCCGAAAATAAGATGCAAAATTTGAGTTTACGACTTTGGTCCTGGAATTACCTTTCCGGTTTTAACACTGAAAGCAACAACTTTGGGTTGACACCTCCTGACGGGTTGTGTGAGGGTGTTGACGATTCCGGTGTCAAGGGCCCAGAGGATATCTTGGGCATCGAGGAAAATGTCAACAACACTCTGAAGAGCAGCGCAGTTACCCTCTTCCTGGATGGACCAACATGGGAAAGGTGATACGGAACTACCACCAGCCTTCTTGCGCAGAGGAACAACACCAAGAGTAAATGGAGTACCAGGTTTAAGTCTTGGCATTGCTACGATAGCCTCATCCTTATAGATCTGCATCCTGGTGACAATGACATTTCTGGCAATGTATCGTCCAGTGCTGGAGTAGATGCTCTTGGTGCTGGAGCATGGCCACTCCAGTTTAGTCCCAGAGAGGTGAAATTGAAATTCTGAAAGGGGTTCCTTTCTGCAACCACCGAGAACTGCGGAGACAAGGGACAGGAGGCAGAAAGTCACACCAAGAGCTCCCCTCATCCTATTATTTATTATTCCCAATAACAAACTCCACATGGAGATATTCCAACGCACCTCACTGCACTATCGATTTCAAATCGCCGAGGGGATCACCGATTTGTGATCCACAATTCAATTAACGACAGTGAATTTCAATTACCGATTCGAGACAAACAGTGAATTGCATTCTCAAATGAGAACTGCTATATATAATCGCATGCTCGAGTTGTTGACTAAATTTGTTTGTAAACTTTGAAACATCTTCCGTCATTTTGCAATGGAGTCTCTCTAAAAACATCTCCCTGCTTCCGTCTTACGAAAATGCGGAAACAATTGCGATGTTTCCTCTTTATTCCTGCGGAAGACGATATCCTTCTGGTTCCGTGAATTACAAAATTAAAAACAGAATGAGGATGAAGTATATATAATTGATGAATATCTCGTATATTGTCAGTCGTGTAGTTTTCCTATCAGAGTGAGTAGTCTTGTATTGATCATAGCATTCAGAGGATGATGTTGAAGTGTTTTGTGGTGGCACTTGCCATCGGTTGTACTTTTGCCAGACATCTAGAGAAAGAAACAGTCCAGTGGACTGGAGGAAATGTTGATTGGCCATGTAGTAGTACCGAATGCCTCTACAAGAACGGTGGAAAATATATTAACAAGAATATGATTTCTACACGTGCTGTTATATACAACAATGATGCCATCCTGGCATTCCCCAGGTAAATGATCGACAGAACGAATTTAAATAGATCAATTATCCCTGTAGGGAAAAATTCTGGAGAAATCGGATGCTTTCTTTAAGGATGTTCTGTCCTGTGTTAGCCGAAATTACTGGTTTTTTAAAATTATTTTGACAAATTGTTGATCGGATTAATCTGGGAAAATACACCGTTTTTGCCTTTTATCAAAATTTCATCATTCGCAAAGTTTCGTGGGTGTGCAGTAATTTTTCTACGTTTTTTCTGATATTTTGGGAATTTTTGAAAAGTTTAGATCTGCAGGAAAATTATTGCACATCATGATATTTTGGGAGTTACTGAACAATAATAGAACTGATTAACAATTTGGCAACAAATTTTAAAAACCGGTAAGAATTCTCGATAAAATAAAACAACAGAATTCCAGGAGAAATCCCACCGAGTTTTCCGAGAAAAATCCTATTTTCCAAATCTCTTAAATTTTCAGATTCAAGAAGGGAGTACCACTGACTCTGGGAATCATCCCCTTGGATTGTAAAACTGGTGAACCCTCAGTGAGCCCATACCCTTCCTGGTCCCTCCAGGAGGAAGGCAATTGTGGAGCACTCCAGAGTGTAGTGGACCTTTTCCTCGACCCCCAGAACATTCTCTGGGTTCTGGATACAGGTATCATCGACGCCCTGGAGGAAACTCCCGTGAGGAAGTGCCCACCCAAGGTCGTCGCCATCAACGTCAGAACCGGAAAGGTAAATTCACTCACACAATTTCCTAGGAAAGCCCTCGAGATGTTTTTTATTAAATTCTTCACTTTTCATTATATATCATAAGAAGAATCATTTATTCAATTAACTCTTTATTATTATTTAATCTTTATTATTTAATTAGACGAAGGAGACTTGATAAAACCAGAGCTTCTTCACAGTGGAGTCCATACCTGCTTCACAACTAATTAGTTTAATTAATGAATTCAGATGGTGAAGGCCGTCGACCTGAGCAGTTTGACGGGTGCATCGTCGCGATTGCAGTACGTCGTAGCTGATTACAGCGCTGACGGTCGTGTCTTCGTGTACGTCACTGATGCAGCAGCCAGAGCCATCCTGGTGTACGATGTGACATCTGACAAAGGATACCGAGTTGTCCTCCCCAAGGCCGTCACCATGGGTTGCACCAAGCGAGATGTTCTGTATCCATCCCTGGTACGTCGTCTCGACGGATCAACTGTTCTCCTCTTCTCCTATCTCTGCAGTGATCAACTCTTCTCCATTCGGACTGAGTACCTCCAGACTGGAGCGGCTGCTGGAAAAATTCACGATATTGGAACTAAACCTGGAAAACTGATTTTCCTAGGGACGGACAACGGATCGGCTGTCTTCTTCAGGTTTGAGGGGCACACTGAGATTTACAGGTGGGACGCCAGCACTCCCTTCTGTCCAGAGAACTGCGTCAAGGTTTACGATGGCCAGGAGTGCACCTTCCCATCTGAAGTCATTCCTGATTATAAGAAGGGACGGATGCGTGTCCTCGAGTCCAATTTTCCGGATTTTATCAGGGGCACTGTTGGGTGTGGCATTGATCACTCCCTCGTTGTTATGTAATTCTGGTGATGTTGGAGATGTCCTGGTCACAGGGTCAAGTTGATCGGGTGAAAGACTGAATTCAAAAGCGAGTGAGGATCGATAGTGTCAGGTTGAAGAGAATTTAACGGAACGTTCGGAGCCATTCGAGACTTTTTCGATTCTATTTTGTAGATTTTAGTGTGACTCGGTGAGAAATCATCAGCGGAGGATCGTAACTCATCATGAATGATGACGATAACACGTTGGAGATGCTTCAATGAACACTCTGATTATTGCCGATTGGGGAATTTGTTCATTTGAATGTATTGTCAAGCACAAATAATAAAATGATTCAATGAATTCAATTTTCTTTCTCATTTTTTTAAAATTCCAATTGATAATTCAATGATAAGAAAACTCTGAAATTCGATAAAAACACAGAAATAAATAACATAAATTTTCCTCCACCCCGAATTAGGAGTTGATCTACGGTTTCTGGGGGAGAAAAATTAATTCTCTGAAAATCGTATTTCTCCTTCGAAAGAATAGCAATTTATATTGACTCGTCGATTATTTAATTTTTCCATTCCTATTCAATTAATATTGAATTAATAAGACATCAAATTAACTTATGCCATCATAATCGATGATTGTTATAAAAAAATCACATTGCCTTTTTTAAAAAAAAAGAAAAACAAAAATGCAGAGATTCGGAAAATGTTGGATATCTACGTGCAATTAAAAATTTCCTAATCCATTAGTGATTCAAATATAATACCGCATTAAACTTTCTCAGCGCACAAGTGAAATCTGATTTTACAAAAAATGAAATAAATTAGATGTTCTTTGTTTCCTAGGAAATGCTTTTGTTGCTGTAATTAGAGATGAATCTATCTATGAAATCTTAACACAAAGCCACTCCGGAAAAATGGTATAAAAAAAGTCGATCAACGGTCGATTAATTGATATTTTATTCATTTTCCCTTTCCTTTTGAAATAGTGATAGTCGACTGGCAGCTTTGCGCAAGTGCGAAACGAATTACGCTTTTCATAATAACATACACTCCGATAGTTAAAATGCAACCCTAATTATATCGCACAATGTAATAGATCAAAATATAATTTTATTGGTATTCCGTTCAGACTCGACAGGCCAGTCGACTGAATACAAAACGAGTTATCGCAATTTTTTGTTCCGTTTGTCTGATCGTTAATCTTTACTACTACATGGGTTAAGCTCAGCTGCAGCTTTAATTTCCTTATGAATTTCATGTAACATAGGTGGACAACGAAATATGATCGTAATGATATTTTTTTTTGCACGCGTTAACCACTCGCGTATGACAGGTTTTATTTGAACTCTCATGAAATTACAGGAGTGTAAAAAAATCGGGTGATTTCTAAGCTTCAATTGCCAGTCTCGGATTTCAATGAGAAAAAGTTTGTCAATCGTCATTCGCTTCGATCGTTTCAGAAAATTAACTGTCCACGCAAGAAAAAGATTCCACAAAAAATACGTAGAAGTCGCGTTATTCGCGAGTCAAATTGAAGGTCGCGATAAAAATTATGGAATATCCGGTAAAAAGTACTTACGAATTTTTTACGGGACATTCCGTAATTTTTATTATTAATTTTCTGCAGAATTTGATAGATCGTTTTTACTCGTTTTCTTGCCAGACTATTTACCACGTGCGCCGTATACGGAGAGAAGTATTCAATTAAAATTACGTGTCTTTCCCGTAATTCCGGAGCGAAATGTGGTTGTAGGAAATTTTACGGAACTGTCACGTTATTTTTATTTAAAGTCACGGAATTATTCTGCGGCATTCCACAATTTTTGAATTATCCGTAAAAAATTAATATACCGTCACTTAAATTTTTCGAATTGATTCTCTAATCGGTAAGCGAACCGAAAGTTCCGTAATTTTTATTAAATATTTCTCTCCGTGTAGAACAATTTATGGTGAAATTTATCTTGTTGTTCCTGTAATAAAAAATCACGATAAGGCTTGAAAAATTGTCAATTTTCGCGTAAAAATTACACTGGGTTTCCGCAATTTATACAAAAAATAGATACAAGATTAACAAACGTGAGCGTAAGTTTCATTACGAATTTCTCTTCGTGTGGTTAGAATATTTCCGCAAAGGTATAAATAGAATTCAATGGAAAAATCTATCACTTTCTCAACCAGTTCTATTGATATTTTATCAGAAAAATTTTCACAGAAACGGAAATTTAGCAGAAGATTCAGTCAGCTTCCACAGAAATTTTTGGAAATGTCTCATTCTGTTTAAATTATTTGATAATTAACAAAATGTTTCACTTTTGTGAAAATTCATGGAAAAATGTAATAAAATATAAATAATCCGATGAATTTTGGGTAAAACGGAGGAGAAAATTCTTAAACTCCACTCGAAAATTTTTCCCCTCGTTCCCTTAAACATATTTTCCTTGAAATTGCCACCATGAGTAATTGTGAACTGTCCCAAAAATTTAGGCAAAGCGTAAAATATGTGCGAGAAAAATTACTTGAAATTCAAAATTGCGATAAAAAATCATTACACCTTTAGTCCCGACTATTCATGCCCACACGATTGCTGCCTTCACAAAAATCGGTCTTCCCAATCGGCCCACAAATCTCAATATTTGCAAATGGTTTCACTTCTTACCGCCTTTAAAGGCAAATTAACGCACCATGATGCAATACCGTACGCGGGTCATGCGTTCGAAATGCGAATGGTGCAACGATATACTTTGTTAAAAACGAAAGAAATAAAATCCACCAGAAGACAAAAAAACCAACACATAAATAAAGTAGAACACCGAGTAAAAGGTCTAATTACCGGAGACACTTAGAGAACAATAGATCGACACTTCACGTCATAAACACCTTGAGCCCACGGATAATTTTTTCGGATTAAACCAGAATAAAATGCACGAGCAAGTGAAAATCATCAATAAAATCATCAATAAAATCATAATTTCCCACGTTGGAGTATCGTTCAGCGAAAATTGCGGTATTAAATTGTCGTTGGGAATGAAATTGCAGGGGGATTGTAAATGCCGTAATGGTTTGAGTAAAAAATACTCGATATATGTATCGAGACTGAATGGCTTGGCATTATGTGGAATTGAAGGTGTGTCTCGAGATCTCGTTCCTATCAATTTAAAGTACACGTAATTTGGAGTAACATAAAGGCGAGGCCTTGTTAAATGCGCCGAAGAATCGCGCCAAGTTTTTAGGAAAAGAGTTGCTAAATATTTCTCGTTAATTGATTATAATTAATTATTCATACTTCAAATTGTTCCTAGAAAAATGTGAAACAGTGGTGCGATTTTTATACGTCACTTGCTGCCCTCGGATTCCGATGGAAAGGTCGTCGATTGCCATTCAAGTTGATCGTTTGAGAAAGTTAATGTAATCCAAATATTACCGCAATTTTTAATATTAAAAGGAATTTTTTATGCGGGTAGATTGAAACTGAAATTAAAGGCGTGTCTCGAGATTTTATTCATTCAACCTAGAGGATGCTGGGGCAATAAAAATTGTCCCATTCTAAATCGTTAACATTTTCCTATTTCTAAACGTAAATGACGAGTTAAATATTTGGAATAATGCAAAACAATGGAAAACAATTTAAAAAATATTCTTTCTAAACCATCAACTCAGGCATTCAATCTGATAATAATTAACTGATTTTTAAGGAGGCGCTCATCATTTCAAGTTAAAGATTATTAAACCAATTGCAATAAAAACATTAACCCCCCCCCCCCCCTACAACTAATTTAGAACAGATAATTGAGTAATTTTCATGAGTCATTAAATAATAAAAAAACGAGAAAACGTATTTATTATATTTTTCACGTCAATCCCGTCGTAAATTTTCTAGAGAAAATGAAAGAAACGTGAATTTTGGTGGTAGAACATTGAAAATGGAATCATATAACGAGAAAATTCCAAGGTGAAGAGTTATTGAACGATCACTAATTATTCAAGCCTCTAGTTATTCCTGACTTGTGTGAAGCCGGCTGTCAATATAAGTGTTCATTTATTGCTACAATTATTCCTCTCGATGCGGCGTGACGTTTCCACCCTGTGATCAATAGTATTGATTCAATACGATTCTACGAGCAGTTGAACGAACTTGTCGGATCATTATTGCAAATTATGTTAAAGCCCCCAGTAATTGCATTTGAGATTAACGACTTAATTGGTCATTACTGATGACTAGTCTGTCATTATTACCCTTAAAATATGAGACAATGGATTTTTTAGATGGTATGATACATGATTGCCATTTTCCTTTCACTTGGAGAAAATCCCTGAGGCTTTTGATTTTCGATTAGAGTTAATATATTTTTTGCTATTTGCAGGAGCTACATTACGACTAACTCCTGGCAGAATGTGCAATGATCTGATGGATTAAGGAGTACTGAGTAATTTATCATATATGACAGTTGACAATGACAAAATACATGTACTTGTTACAGGACATGTATGTAAATTATTATTACTGGCGTTTAGAACCCGTTTGGGGGAAATCGCAAGGCTAAACTGGGCGATGGGAGCATGAGTAATTCGGCGGAAATAACATGGTTGATTTCATTGAAGGGCAACACTTTTTATTGAACGTCTAAGAATTGTTTGTTCATGTTCGAAAAGACAAGGTTAAATTAAAATTTTTTATCACTCAGATTTATAGAAAATGAATAAATCGTAAAATAACACATTTTTGATTAAAAAACACGTTTTTCAATTTCCTTTTAATTCAGAAAATTAGAATTATTTAACACAAGTTTTATAGTTTTTTATATTGAATTTTGATGCACATCGTAAAAATTTAACCCTTTAGTATTTTGGATTGGGTAGGAATTGGAATTTGGTAGGGCAGGATAATTGTTGATGTAATTTTAAAAAATGCCATTTGTTGGTAGAATGATTGATGAGGTCATCGACCAAGGACCTTCGCAATTCTGCAACAACCGGATCAAAGTGATCTATATTGGTTGAATTGTGTTGATCAAAGAAAACAAAATGTCCAGTAACGTCAGCACTTTCTCGCATGCAGATTCCAATGTGGTGAACCCCGGGTCTCTCTTGGTTGCACCAGGTAGGTGAGGAACCGGCACGTGAGAAGGGTTTATTCTCCCGGCGAATGTTGATGAAAAGCCACACATGTGTGCATGATAAACCGGTGTATGCTTTCGATTGGAGCCGATTGTCTCTGGTCCCTTCCCAACAATCCCCCAGCTAGCTACCAATTCCTCCAGTTCTTGTGCCTCCAACATTTGAGAATTAGATCCGCTGTAGTTCAGTCTGTGAAACTCTGTGTTAACCGGTGTTTCATTCACCAGAGTCTTTCTGGGCCTCTTTTTGTCTCTCACTTATCACACTTTTTTGACAAGCCATCAGCGGATTACTGAATCACACTGTTACTCACATAATTTAACCGGCCAACGTCATGAGGTAATTTTAAGAAAAACCTACTAGTCACTCACTTGGGACGCGTTTTTGTTCAGCTATTGGGCAACAATTTATAGTGAATAAATCATCCAAATTTCGAATTCAATCTACGAATTTTGGAGATCATTAGTTCTAGGGGAATTTTTAAAAAATTATAATTCTAGGGTAAAAACTCCCGAAAGTACAATTTATTTACTTTTTATTTCACTGTAACCTGTCGATTATTTCTTATTTATCCAACTGTAAATTTGCAGTAAAATTAACGTAGACGATGTGATAAAATGAAAAAAGATGTGAAAAAAAAAGATATAAATTTTTCTCCACGCAAGCTTTACCGATCGACCTGGTGGTTAATGTCAGGATCACTGATTATGGTATTTCATGAACAATGGAATCTCGAGCATTGTTCTACTCCATTTATCGCTAATTGTGACTGTTCCATTAAATTGTAATGAATGAAAATGACATTGTGGGTCGACGATGAGATATAATCGGGTATTCGTGTAATAAAGAACTTTCAGTATCCATTGGCGGTCACGCAAAGGCAATATGTATCTGTCCATTCTTTATTGTTATGAAATGTCGAGTAATCGAAGATAGAAAGTAATTCGTTCCGCACCGGCATTCGATAGAATTATTCATTGCGAGTGAATTAATGGCACTGGAATAATGCAAAATGTGGTATTTGCGAAGGCGAGATTCAATTATTAATTCAATTCAATTTAGAAACCAAGTCATCTGGAATCACTTGAGGTAATTTAATTACGGGATAATTAAGGATGAATGAACGAGATAAATTGTTTTTCCGGGTTTCGTAACTTCACTTTGGGCCCATTATTTCCGAATGCCTGGGTAGTTTGTATACCGAATGGCCACTTCAGGATACGAACTCGGGGAATAGGTGATAAATTCACGTGCGAAATTTATTTCAGAACCTTTATGCTACGCGTTCTATATCTTTGCATGAGAAAAGAACGAGGTAGAAAGGAAAACATGCGCTTTCTCACAGTAAATAATGCCAGGGAAAAATGAGAACGTTTTGTAAAAATGTATGATTTAGGAGCTGTTCGTCATACTACTCCTGAATCATATATCATGCTAAATCGAGAAATGAAGGACTTGAAAGAGTTGAAAGTTGCAAGTGTCGTTAATGGGCCAAGGAAAATTGTTAGAAAATTCGAAGATAGAGATTTCGAATAATTTTTTTAACGACTGAAAATCATTCGGGATGACGTATCAAGAAAAATAATAGTATGGGCAAAAAATACGAATTTTCCAGTAAATTTCATTGTCAGAAATATTTTCTTCCTTCTTCCTGCACAGTAAGATCTGTAAAAACAATTTTATCAAGTCATTATTATTGTTTTTGTTATAATTAAGACATCGAACACTGCAATCACTAGCGGCTAGAACTTCTTTCTATTAATTTAAGGGAAAAATCCTTGAAATAAGTAAAAAATTACTTGCTTCAAGGATTTTCCTTCGTTAGATTGTAGACCCACGAGTTTCTTGAAGCAAGTGATCTTGCTGATTGAACAAGGATTATTTGTTCCCTGTGTGGGTACCGAGAATTTACTTTTCTTTCTACAGTAAACGATTCAATAGGAATTCGTCTGAACAGTTTTCAACCATATGACCGAAAAATTATAGAAAAATCTACTTTACGAATTTATGTCATCGCGGTAAAAAATAAAATGCAGATAAAAATACTTTTGAGCACATACAATTCTTTTTACACGCTTAAAAAATATGAGAGTTCCTTCATTGTTGATCACTCATTTTCAGTCCAGAAATACCGAATACCATCTAGGGATAAACAAATTACGAAATCAAAGACTTCGTCGATAATTAATTAAAATGCCGGAATTTGAAATACCATAAACACAAGAAATTCGTCCGAATTTCAGGGAATACTTGAAATAGGACGAATTCTTTTTATATTTTATAATATTGCAGGTATTTTTGAATTTTCTAAAATAATTTCTCTCCTCAGGAATTTTCTCTTCGTCCTCGGCGCGTTATTGTCATTGAGCTTTGGAGAATCAGAGGTCCTGGACACGATAGCTCACTGGCCTCTCCTGGACTTTGCCCTGCCATACGATCGAGCTTTTCTGAACGAATACCGTGCAGAGAATGTGGTGCCAACAGGATTTGCCGTTGCCTGGCACAGAATTTTTATTTCAATTCCTCGCCTACGTGCAGGAGTCCCCGCAACTCTGAGTGTGATTCCTCGGGATATACCACTTGGTAGCAGTCCTCAATTGCAAGCATATCCCTCCTGGGAATGGCACATCGCTGGTAAAGGGGAATTCAACTGCTCTTTATTGATTTCCGTTTATCGAGTTAATGTGGACAGGTGCAACAGGCTCTGGGTTCTCGATAGTGGAATAAACACCTCGATCGATGACTTCCGCGTTGTCTGTCCACCTAAACTACTTATCTTTGACCTGCAAACGGACACACTTGTGCGGTCGTATGTGTTCCCGCGCCGGGTAAGTTGATTAATTATAAAACGCTTCACATCACATCTAAAAGTTCACTTCCCCGCTTTTGGCATTTTTGCCAACAGATCTGAATTGATATTACAAATTTTAAGGAAAAACTCTCTCACTTTTTTAGTTTATACTAGCATATATGGCCTAATTTTGTACGTGTGGGGCGTGATCATTTGGTATCTAAAATCTCTAAAAAAATTATCCATCATTTTTTTTTTCAATTAAATTCAATTCATAAATCGAGGAGGTACTCACTGAAATTAAAAAATTCGAAATTTTTCAAAATATATCGGGGGAGCATGAAAATCGAGGAGATATTCACTGAAATTGAAAAATTCAAAATTTTTGGAAAAGTATCAGGGGAGCATGAGAATCGAGGAGATATTCACTGAAATTGAAAAATTCAAAATTTTTGGAAAAGTATCAGGGGAACCTGAAAATCGAAGAGGTATTCACTGAAATCGAAAAATTCGAAATTTTCCAAAATATATCAGAGGAGCATGAAAATCGAGGAGATATTCACTGAAATTGAAAAATTCAAAATTTTTGGCAAAGTATCAGGGGAGCATGAGAATCGAGGAGATATTTACTGAAATTGAAAAATTCAAAATTTTTGGAAAAGTATCAGGGGAACCTGAAAATCGAAGAGGTATTCACTGAAATCGAAAAATTCGAAATTTTCCAAAATATATCAGAGGAGCATGAAAATCGAGGAGGTATTCACTGAAAATGAAATATTCAAAAAATTATAAATTTTGATTTGCAGTCCCTGAGACCACACAGTCTCCTCACGAATTTGGTCATTGATGACACATCAGCGAATACTTGTGATGACGTTTGGGTGTATTTGACGGATACAACTGGATCAGGTGAATAACTTCTGCCGCAAAATTATATGTTACTATATTTATTAATTAATAAATCATTATCTCGACATTCCAAAGAAATATCTAAACTGAGACTTGAAATGAGTCATTTTGTTAATATTTGTGTTTATGTTTTTGAATTTATTTAAATTTATGGTAATCTTTAGCTGGGCACTGAGTAATATAAATTATTCTATTAACAGCTACTGAAATAATGCAAATTCTACATATTAATATCACTATTTTATGAATTATTATTATTTCTGGTTAATTGATTATTTTAATTATGTCTTGAGATTTTATTCTGCTTTTTTGTGGGTATTATTACTGTATTAATTTAATTATTCCGTTCAGTTTTTACTGATGTTTATGTTGTTATTCTTATGTTGATATAAATTATTGATTTCGCTTATTGAAAGAGAATAAAAATTACTGAAGTATTTAGAATTGAATCCTGGGTTGTTGGATTGTACAGAAAAATATTCGAAGACAACTTTTGACTGGAATTTCAAAGGGTTTTCCGATGTTTCCCGTAAAATCGTTACTTCTCAAGTCAATTAAGAAATTAATCCACCGAATTTTCATCATTGATCGATAAATTTTGAATTTAAGGTCTCATGGTATTCGATGCGGCGAATGACAGAAGCTGGAGATTTCAACACGCATCAATGTTTCCAGATCCGGATTACGCAACTTATCAGGTATTTGAAATTATGAAGCTGTGATAAAACATTGAGAAATATTACTTTCAAATGGAAAACAAAAATTAATTTTTAGGGTTCATGCATCTACCATTCACCCAAAGAAATAAAACAATGGTAAAATTAGTTTTCACTTAGACCTTCAGAGGATTTAATTCGAAATTTTTCAAAATCCTCGGAATTCTAAAATTCTAAAAATCGGCTCTCATTTCCGAGTAATTTTCACAGCAACATATTCTAATTAAAACAATGCATATTATAAATGATACTTTCCACACTATTAATTTTTATTGTTAAAATTTCCACTACTGTTAATTTTTATCGTTGATAGCATCATTAAAGACTTAAAGTAGAATAGATTTTAGAATACGAATAATTACTGTAACTTCAGGGTATTCCACGAAAATTTGAAGAGTAGAACTGTGAACTCAATTTTTCAGATCGCAGGGGACTCGTTTGAGCTGTTTGATGGGATCGTGGGTCTGGCATTTTCACCACGTCAGAGGCGAGTCTACTACCAACCACTTGCGACAGACCGTATGTTCTCTGTTCCAGCGTCAGTTCTTCAGGCGGGTCCTCTTCCCTTTGGAGAACAATTGCCCGTCAGTTTGGTCGGTAGAAAGTCGAGTCAGGGACTGGCAATGGCTGTTGATACTCGTGATGACACCATACTATTCTCCCCCTTGACAGAAACTGCCATTGCTAGCTGGAATCCACATTCAAACAATCAACGGTATTTTTTATTTCTCCCTTTAACAAACAATCGTGGAAACCCTCACAATTTTTCTTTTTTTCTTTTCGAAATCAGTTGCGCTGTGAATCGGATAGTGGCACTAGGATAAATCGATTTTTTTTCAACCTTGCGTTTTCCCGAAATCATTTCCCAATCATCAATGAAGTTATCAAAATCGATTAATTAATAATTATCAAGATTACACAAAATTTAAATAGAAAAAATAATTCTCAATATTCAATAATTGAACTCGTACTCTAAAAAACAATGCAAGCCATTTTTTATGGACCTTTTAGATTTGTTCATCTGCGTCTTTATAAAAAATTTCTCTCTCTCTAACTCTGAAACGGACAAAACGGTCTTTTAATCGACTTTTCAAATTTCTTCATTATTCTCTTGCCTTGTAAAAGTTTTCCCTTCTCCGAAATACCGATTTATTTCGAAAAAACAAATCCATTCCAAATCAGAAATGTCCCTTTCTATTAACGAAGTCCACCTCTTCAATCAGTCTTTACAAGATAATCACGAAAATCTATTTTTGCAAATGATAACATCCCTTAAAACGCCATCCTCAAATTGAGGAAGATAATTTTTAATCGACATAATTTCCAACACAACTCCCTTATCGTAAACTAACAATAAAAATTTCAATAGACAATAGAGTTCTCCCTCTAAACGATCAAAACGAATTTCGAAAGTAAATCATAAATTTCCTCATACGTGTCCTCGTAAAAATATCCCCCTCCCGAGAATTCCGATCTATTTCGAAAAAACTAATCCACTCCAAATGAAACGCTTTTCCTTTCATCCTTTCGCCCTGACGAAATCAATACCTGAAAAAATTGACAATGAAAATAAATGTTAACGTATGGTACTTGTTCAATCTTCCACAGGATAATTGCATACCAGCCGGAGCAATTCCAATTCGTTGCAGAATTGAGATTGGTTGATCGAGACGACGGGAATATCTGGCTGCTTTCGACGCGTTTCCAGAAATTCTTCAACCGACGAGTTAACAACCAAGAGATAAACCTAAGAATTTTAAGAATTCGTCCAGAAAGTCGCGACCACTCACCAGTTCCCCACCGCCTTGATCCCTACGCCCTTAACTTATACAACAACACTCTTCCGCTTTGAAACGACCTCGCCCGATATTTACCTTAACTAGAAAGTCCATTCAAATTTATTTAATCAGACGACATAAACTAAACGATTAGACGTCGCCGTATTTAGCAGCTCGCCATGGTATCCCAGAGGTGCCATGGGTTTCATAACAGTTCGCCATTGACTGCTGGACCGTTTGGATCAAGTTCTGCCTCTGGAAAAATTTAGTGAAATTTTTCATTAGCCGTTTATTTTTCTTTTGTATTTACATCATCAAATGTGATTCTGACAGTGAAGTGATAGAGCAGTAAAGTTATTGTCTCTGAATTCAGAGAAGACTAGAAATATCAAGATTTTAGTCAAAGTGGAATGAAGAATACGAATAAATTCTGAGGTCTTAGTGTTTCCCACGCGGTTAAAAACCTCATTGAATGTAAATCGAATAAAAAATTTGGAGAGATTCAAAAATTTTTGGTAAAAAAACGATATTTTCGTTAGTGATTTCCGTTTTCAAGATCAAGATCTCAGGATTCAAGATCATATTTACAACTGTTTTTCTGATTTCTCAATATATCGATAGAATAATCTCAGTGAAATCTACACTCTCTCAATGGAGAATGTCCAGTCTCCATTTCAACATTAAATTGTCGGTTTTCGGTGACAAACTGGTTTAGAAAAAGCAAAGAAATTTCGAATGCCTTTGCTCAGAGGTATTTTTAAATAAAAGTTTGCGGTCAGTCTTCTTCCCTCAGACATTATTTCACTAAATACCTCGAAATCGAAAAAAAAATCTGCAAAATCGTTTTGTTCATCAGATCAGTTAGCACCGAAAATTCTAATCCGTCACCTGACAATTAGTCACCTGACTAGCGATTTCTTTGAATGCCCTGATCTGCAACATCAAGACAATAAAAAAAAAACCAGTTCCCTTACTCTCCAGTGTTATGCAAAAAAATCCGCGTGATTGACAGCGAATTCCGCAGATGTTTACTCACCGACTATGTTCGAAAAAAAATTGTAGTGCGCACGCATGTTTTTTGTAATAAAAATTCATAGAAACAAACACTTTCACAAATTCACACTCCACTCCAGAATTATCACTGACGGGTGAAACTAATTCGCTGTTTGTTAGTGCGTTCTGGCACGTATTTCATTCACAATTAATGGTGCTGTCAGTGATTTTGTAATTGTAATCATCTTGATAGTTGGAGAATCAGGAAAATCACTGATACCAGTGGGTTATCCTTTCAAGGATGCCAAGTGTATCCAACGATTATTCAACTCTGTCGGCAAACATATCACAATCTGTCGTTCAAGTGTCACCGGAAGTATGCAGAAGTGTCTCTGGTTTTTGTTATTTGTCTGTTCTGCATCGGTGATCGGTGCTGGAAAATTGCAAGTATTGTACGAGTGGTCATGGATCGATTATCTGTGGGAGAGCGATGCACACAAGGCAGCCGCTATTACTGCGGGCCAGTACAATTACACAAAACCAGTCATCATTGATGTTGATGTTTGGAAAGGAAGGAGGAAAAACTACCGGAACAGTCAGTGACTTTTTTTTACTCCAGAGATAATCCGAATTCCACTTGAAACTTTGTGTCAACTACAGTATACCGAAATGAGATCAGTAGAATATCATATTGAATTGAATTCTTTCATTTTTGTAGTCAATAATCAGTGGGACTGACA